ACAGCATTAGAACATAGAACAGCATTATTGCTAATAATAAAAAGAGCATAAATGAAAGATGGATGGAAGAAATTAAATCATAAAAAAAAACAATGGGCTTAGAAAAAAATGCAAAGACAAGAGAAAGGAATAAGATACACAAACGATAGGAAAATGCACAAATACAAAAATGTAAAATTTGTAAAAATATTGGCCATTGTACGAATAGACAAACAAGTCTTAAATTGGATACATGAGATGAAGTGAAGGCATATATACAAAAGAAGCAATTTCAAGACTATGGTGTTGTACAAAGCAAATTACTTATACAGCTTTATAAAGTATAAATAAAAAAGGAATTCATATAGTGTAGATTAGCAGTGCCGGCTTGCTGAGAAGGAACATGGCATTCGTGTACAAGTACACACACTCTCAACAGTAACATTTGTTTAAGAAGTTGGACATGTGGAATTTCAGCCCCAAAAAAATACAAGCCCCAACATTACAATGCCTGCACTTTTTTTTTTTTTTTACAATTAGTGTAATTAAGCCAGTTTCTTTGTTTCACACACTTGTCAATAATCATCTTCTCTACATAAATTAGGAAGTACAATAGGCAATGTAATAAATCAAGTCAATTCACATAGGGCTGTGAACTCTAATCTAATCTAGGGCTGTTAAACGATAAATCATGATTAATTGCATCCAAAATAAGTTTATTTACATAATATTAGGGTTAAAACAGTGTGAGGTGCAAAAGAAAAGGTTTAATAGAACATGAAGTGCAGAGAAGAGCACATAGAAACAAGAATAAGTCTCACGTCTCCACACAAGGAGGGCTTCAGAAGATATACAGAGGATCTGCTAATACTCCATTTAAGAGCATGTGCAGGTCCTGAGAAACACTTACAACAGACAAGCATTTAAACAGCAAATTACAAAGTATAGTATTGATTATGTTGGCAAAATAGGCAAGTTAACAAATTAACATTAACAAGCAGTCATCGGTGAACATGTCATTCTTTGAGTTATTTAGGGTGCACATTGATGAATGGATCTCACCTGAACTTCACCGGTCACTACATGTGTGCTGACCCTCTGTATCTTAACTCTGACTCACTCAGGTGCCTTTATATCCCTAAACAGCTCCTGCAAAAACACAAATCATCAGATCACACACATGCAGTATTCCAATCAAGAGCTCACTGGAGCAAAATCATCAAATTAAGTTAATTCATTAGAGCAACATAGGGCATTTCTGGAAAATTGGTGTTTAAAAAACACAGAACAGATTGTAAGTGGATCATTGGACATAAAATAACCACACAAACGATCCGATCTCAGTGATAGAGCTCCCATCAGACCATTTACATCTCAGATCTACAGAGGAAACAGAAAAGTTAACATGATACACCAAATTAAAGAAACAGTAATAATTAAAAAAAATCTGTGTGAAAGCGGATAAAGTGAAATATTTTAAAACACTTAAATATTAAAGCCAAATTAAGTGTAGAACAGTCAATAAAAGATGTGCTCATAAATGTCACTTACAAAATGGTAGATGAATTAAAGCACCCAATAATGGAGATAACTTCATGAGACTTTAACAGACCAGAAGAATCCACGAGGAGAACCACACACATCAACTACAACTTAAAGTAATGCAAGCCAACGACCAGGGCGAAACAGGCTTAAATACACAGATAACAGATCAGGGAAACGAGACACAGCTGGGGTAAATTAACCCAACGACAGTAACCATAGTAACGAACTGGGAGAGAATGGAGACCTGACTAGTTCATGAGGTTCAGCTGTGTTGTGTTAATGAAGACGGTGAAACTGGGATCAAGGAGTGGCACAATTTGATGAAAGCCTAAAAATGCTTCAGAAAGCCTTGGTTTACGATCACTACATTTAAATTAGTGATGTTACATATGACACTGAAGCTTCGATGCACGTATCACATATGCAACACAATTTCTAGTGAAGCCCCATATCGGGGTGTGTATTGCTTATCCCAGAGTCACGTGATCGATGACAAACGAAGCCTCACCTTCTGTCCGATCACGTGCGAGTTTCGCTTTGGGTGTCAGATAGATATCTATGGTCAGAAGGCTCCAGATCTCATTTAACGAGTCAATGTTGCCTCAGTCGGGTGTTTGAGGAGAGCACTGTACTTTGAAAGTTAATAAATATAATTCATTAAATAACCAATTCTAGTCTATTCTTTTTTTGTTTTGTCTTTTTGTTTTGTAAAATCTTTGCACTTTGGTGGATTCAAGGTAATTTGGTGTTGGTATTTGGATTTAGGGTGGGATTAGGAGAGAGGGGATAGAGTGTTGGTGTTTGGCGAAGGGTTTGTATTTAGAGCAATGGCAACAGCCACAAAAAGGAAGACTTCCCCTATCTGGGAACATTTTGAGCTTATAGCCTCCAATGTATGTGTTTATGTATGAATATATATATATATATATATATATATATATATATATATATATATATATATATAATTTAACATTTTACTTATTTTATTCTTGTAAGTAATTTATTACTTTAATATAACATTTTTTAGAAGGTGAGATGTTTGGTGTGTGACAAAGAGCTTGTTTATGGAAACAACACATCATCCATGCTGAGGCATTTCAGAGCTTTACATGAGACTGCACAGCCCCAGAAAGCCATGTGAAAGAGTGTTCTCTAAGGCTGGGGAATTACTGTGTAAGAGGAGAAATAGACTCAGCCCCAACACCGTGAAACAGCTTTTATTTCTAAATAAAAATAATTAAAAACTTTATCACCTTTCTGCCATTCCTACAGTTACATAAGCACTATCACTGCCAAGTGTCATACATTTAAAAACAGATGATCCTATCAGACAATGTTATATTCATTATGTGTGTGTACACAGAGATAGAGTAAGTCTACATTAAATTTTATTGAATTATATAAGCTTATATTATATTTTATTGCCACACTTTAATGGGAAAATGAATTTATTAAATGAACAAATCAAACACAAACATGTAAAAAATTTTATTTGTACACATAACATTGAAACTCTGTAGTGTGTTGTGGTTGCTTCATCTGCCAGAGCTTCTGGCTGCTTTATTTTAAATAAGCACCAGATGGCGCTGTTCTCGACACTCTCGGAGCTTTGAATCTTTTCCCGGGAACAGTCAGGGGAAAGCCTCAATTGCTTCATGAAGCTTCATTACCCCATCCCTAATTTAAACTGTACTGCATTAAATAAAAAAAAATAAAATAAAAAAAAAGTTATGAATATACAAATATAAAAAAGGGTATAAATCTACAACACCAATTAAGTACAAGTGAAAAATAACCAACAATAAAAATAACTCTTACTTCAGTTGGACCCTCCCACTCCAAACTACATCCCAGGCTGGCAATCCTGCAGGATCATCCTGTGGGCATTTATACTTACGGGCAAAACCACTGACAGGAATACAATTCAACAAACCGCCAAATCTCAATATAATAAACTTTCTGTACATCGCCTAATTCACAATTATTAAAAAAAAAAAAAAAAAAAAAAACTTGAATACATGTTTCCTCATTGAAAAACTGTTACATTTTTAAACAAACATTCCCCTTCATCTTGGATTTGCTAAATGGAACTTGTAATACTCTATTGTGTTTCATCAAGTTTATCAACCTCCTCATTTGATTTCATGCTTTCTAAAGCTTAATAACATTCAGATATGATCACCAAATGGTTTAAATCATTTCCCTCTACCCATTTCAAGGCCAACAAAATTGCACCCAGCTCTGTTGTGTACACTGATAAATGATAAGTCATTATTTCCCAACATATTACCCCACTCTTTGGAATATAAACTGACCCAGCATGTCCCGTCTTTGGATCCTTGGAGCCATCTGTAAAAATTAATGTATGGTTACAACATTGCAGATAATATTTAACAATATCCTTCACTGCTACTTCCTTTGACTTAGTTTTGATTTCCTTATGAATGCCTAAATCTACATCTGCTATAGGGAAACCCATGGAGGAAAAGGAGGAACTGAAACTGTTGAACAGGACTGGAACTTATGTCCCTATTCTCAGCTTTCACGTTGCCAATCCAACAAAACTACTGTAATTGGACTTACTGTGTTCCCAGCAGTCGTTTAAGATAGCTTTAGCAGGATGGTTCTCAACTTGTCCCTTCACATTAACCCAGTGTGTTAACATCCGTTGTGCCCTTCTGATCCTCACAGGCAGCTCACCCATTTCCAAACAGCCGACACTGGGGATGTTTTAAAGATCCACTACATATAGAGTCTGAACACAATGAGCTGAGGTGAAGTGTGTGTATAAGTAGTGAAGGTGATGAGGGTGATGATGAGGTGCAGGTGTGTGTGATCGGGACTCAAGTGAGGGAGAGCACTGTGATTGGCTGGTGTGAGAGCCTGGCAGATCTGTAACAAGGGTTAGTAAGGCATGTCAAACAGCAATGTGTTTTTTGTTTTGTTTTTTTTTTACTTATCAGCAGCTGTTATGAGTGAACTTGGGCTAGTAGACCCAGGCCATGTTTACACATCGCCGTGTATTTAGAGAAACACTCTAAATAAATAATATAAATAATAAATAAATAATACACGTGTAAATGAGAGGCCAAACTGCAGGGAAATATCTGCGTCTTCCCTTCATGAAAACGGGGCACCTGTCTGATAGGTTTCCAAACAATGAGGGTTTCACAACAGGCTGAAAAAGCACAATTATTTATTGGAGAAAAATGTATGAACAAGTAAACACTAACAATAAAGCAAAGCAAGATAAAATACACACACTGGTGTGTGATTCCTCATCAGTTCAGATGCACCTTACAAACACTAAAGAGACATTCAAACTCAACAAACAAAAGCTTTAAGAGTGATTAAGTAAAATATTTTCATGCAATACCAAGAAAAAATTAAGCAAAAAAAAAAAAAAAAAGCTACAAAAACAAGCTAAAGAATTTGAAGACCGAGCGCGTTTCGTAATCCGGACATGTTTTGGACCCGTCGCCTCGCCGTAGCTGTCAGGTTGCAGTATGTTGTTAAAGTTCAGCCGATCGCAGCATTGGAAATAATATTCATTCTTATTCGTCTACGGTACTGGTCGCACTGTTTTACATTTTACTTCACAGCAAACGATTTAACTCATGCAGTGTGTCCCGATTCAGACACTTTATGATCTGACGGAAACTATGAATGTATAGCATGCTAACAGCTAGCCTATCAATAACACTTATTTCACATATGCAAACTAAACTAATATCTAAATATATCCTGACATACTCACATTTTAAGCGTTTAACAGCGTTCATCTCGCGTTTATAATGTTGTGTCCTGTGTTTAGATGTTCAGTGACATTTCATGCGTTTATTGTTTAATCTTCATTTCGGAGTCTTTTTGACTTTGCTTATTTCACAAACTAAACTCGACTTGCTGTGTTTCTGCAATGTCGCATATGATCATACTTTACCAGCTCAGTATTGAAAAGGGACTATATAAGTTGTATCTAAATATAAAGTTAATGAGATATAAGAAATGACTGTTAATAAAAGTGTAAATGTAATGCATCAGAGAATGTGTTATCTCTGTAATTTCTGTTTAAATGCGATGCAGGAAGTGAATTCATGAGCATGAGTTATTCATTTCTTGCTGTCGATGTGAAGGAGATCTCAGAAACAGTGTATTTGAGTGTGTTTGCAGTGACACCATCAGTAACATTACTGACCTCAGTTCATAATGATGGTCTGTGTGTTTCTGTAGTGAAGCTGCTTGCAGAGCATCATGGGAAACACCAGCGAGCGTGTGTCCGAGCGGCACGGGGCGAAGGCTCAGCGCTCAGACAGCGGAGGACACAAAGACCTGGAGCCGGGGAAAATGATGGACAGCACCGACGACCCCAATATTTTCAACACACACGGGCCGGAATCTAAAGTATGCCAGAACACACACTCATTTTATAAACACACAGAACTCCTGCTTGAAGCTTAACGGGCTCACACACACATGTGATGCATAAAGAGTAAACCGATGTTCTGCTCTGGTGTGTATCCGAGCACTGAATCATCCGTGTTGTTGTCTAGGCCGCGGGCGAGAAGGACTTCGGCCCAGATTTAGAGGATATGGTGAAGACGTGTTCTCAGGCTCGACCCACCGTGATCCGCTGGGCTGGAGGAGGGAGAGAGGTTTACATCACCGGCTCCTTCAACAACTGGAGCTGCAAGATCCCGCTCAATAAGAGGTGCGCTAACCGCCTGATGAACAGAAGCTCGCTCATTGTTATTTCATCAATTTTTCAAGCTTTTTTCTCTGTGTTTTTGAAGCCATAATGATTTTGTAGCCATCTTGGACCTGCCTGAGGGCGAACATCAGTACAAGTTCTTCGTTGATGGCCAGTGGCTTCATGACCCGTCTGAGGTGATTATATCTGCATTTAACCAATCCTCACACGACTTAGGGACACTTCATATTCAGCAATATTATTGATCTCCTCCATCGACACTATTATATGAGAACTGAACTGAGCTGGACAATGACATAACCCTAACCCTAACCCAATCTCGGTTTTCTCAGGAGCGGCTGTATATATATATATATATCTATATATATATATATATAAATGAACTAAATGATTAATTTTTTTTACAACAAAATAAAGCATCACTGAACTTACTTACAGTAAACTGGACTGTGACACTATTTTCTTATAGAAACAAATTTTGTTGCATTATTTTACTATTATCTCTTTAAAGCTGTTTTGAAACAATCTGTATTGTAAAAAGCGCTTTATAAATAAAGGAGACTTGTTTGTATCACTGCTATTAGGGGTGTCACGATTCTCCAAATCCTCGATTCGATTACATTTTTGATTCTAAGGTCACGGTTCGATTCAATTCTCGATTTTTACATTTATTTGTTTTTAAAAATGAAACTGGCCAATCAGGATGCTCTCTGTTTTAAGGGGGTTGCACACCGGACGAGAAGCGCAGCGCCATGTCTTTAAAATCACACACACCGGCGGCGCCCAGATACGGCTCAGGACCGTGTTCAAAACCCTGCTGCGCCATTTACATAGTTTTATATTAAATATATTATTTATTAGTCTCAAATCGTCGCTAATGTACATGGCTTCACCCTGTGCTGTTTTCACTCGGGCTAACTAAATAAATACTATTGTATTATGTGACATAGTTGACTAGACAACGGATAACGTTACGAGAAAATAACAGACTTAACGTGATAGACACTTTTACTTGATTAACGTTCAAACATCAGCTATTATTTTTCAATCAACATTAAAAAAATAAGTCTAATAAATCAAGTTAACTTAAAACGCACACATCGTGCGGGAGTTGATTCAAAATTGAGCTCGTGCGAATAGAATGTGCGCGGCCCTTTACATGCGCTTCATGAGAAGCACAGGTCTCTCGCTCTCTCTCTCTCCCTCGCTGCCGTGCGCGCAGGACGGTTTGGAGCTCAGTTTTCTCTGTCTCGGCTTCACTCTCGCTCTTGTTCGCTCACTCTAGATTCCGGGAGATTTGAACTCGTTTGCGCGCATCAGGGAGCCGCTATCAACATGCGGGAGACTCCCGAAACTCCCGCGAGACTCGGGATGTCTGCAAACTGGCTTTTTTGAAGCACGAACGTTGTCAACATTACTCACAACGTCAAGACATGATGTCAGTTATGGAGGTTACAGGTGTAAAATCACATTTGTCATGTATATTTATATAGCGCTTTCACAATATAGATTGCCTCAAAGCAGCTTCACAGTATCAATCAAAACATAATAACAATGTTCGTTTCTTAGTGGAAAAACATCCATGTTTGGTAGAGCTGATCAACGGTAGCCTATTACTGATTGGTTAATTCATTTAAATATCCTCAATATTTGAAAACAACAGCGCGCACAGAGAGAGAGAGATTTTTTTTCTGCATAACAAAAGATGTTGTTCATACTTATTTTTCATCCCTTGTGCGTCATGATCATCATCTTTTGCGCTCTACAGAAAAAAAAATGTCACGTAGGTTTGGGGTTTAATGAAGGCCGAATCCATTTCTTTAAACTGAAATGCACGTGTTTTCTCTTCAGCCCGTGGTCACCAGTCAGTTGGGCACCATTAACAATCTGATCCATGTGAAGAAATCCGATTTCGAGGTGTTTGACGCACTGCAGGTGGACTCTCTGGAGTGCTCCGACACGTCAGGTACGAGCCAGAGTCAGTGCTATCACAATAACATCACACAAATGTGAATACCACAATCATAGACGGCTCTCGGAAAAGCTGTTTCTGTAGATAAGCTCCAACGTAGGTGTGTGTGTGTAGATCTGTCCAGTTCTCCGCCTGGGCCGTACAGTCAGGAGGTGTACATGTTCAAACCCGAGGAACGCTTCAAAGCTCCACCGATCCTGCCTCCACACCTGCTGCAAGTCATCCTCAACAAGGACACCAACATCTCCGTGAGCACGCTCTCCGTCTTACCAACAGAACTACTTTATTTCAGATTTACCAAAGCGTCAGAAGAAAAAAATATACCAGTAATCAAAAGAGCTATTTATGACACGACAGAAGTGTTGCTACAAAAGAAAAAAGGTTGAAGAGAGGAGAGCCGTTAAAGGGGACATGACATTTATTCTTTTAATATTTTAATATTCCTTGAGATTCACTTATAATGTTAATAAAAACATAAATGCAGAAAAAGGATTATTTTCCACTCTTCTGAGCCTCAGCTTTTAATGTGCGGCTCCTTTAAGGTGTAGTGAACTTATTTCAGATGCTCAGACCAGGAGACTCGCGCTGTATCTAAAGCAGGATTCTTTATTTACATGTAGTCATTTAGCAGACGTGACTTACATCTGAGGACTAAATCAAACAAGTCATTGTGGAGAGGCAATGACAACGCAAGAAGTGCTCAATATACAAAGTTCAAACATGGCTCAGAGTAATATAAACCAGGCAAGTGAGGATGTTTTTATTATTATTGAGAACACGAGCTGTTGGTAGCTGTAGTCACCGAATTGATTCGTGTTAGCGTCCTCTAAGTTAATAACTAATGATTTTTACAACGTAAATTAATCCATCAATAACGTACTTAAACTAGACAATGATTTTCTTCTAGATCTGCTGTAAAGCCAAATCTGTGTTTGTTACGCCCCGTGGCCATTAAAGCTGCTTTGAAACGACCTGTGTTGTAAAAGGTGACTTGACGTGATGTCGAACTACTGGCCGACGTCTTGCTCTGGAGGCGAGCTTATGCAAATGTATTTGATCATGTGACATCACAGCTGTTTTTGGAGCTTGATTATTACATGCTTTGTTTAAAGTACACAGTACAAAACATCTTATATGTCAAAAGATCGAGATAAATTTGACTTCTCATGTCATGACCACTTTAATAAAATAAGAAATGTCCAGTTCAGACAGAATACTTTTAGCAATCTACTACCCTTTTCCATTGTGTTTCTGTGCAAACATTTGCTGGACGGACATCTTTGCAGTGTCTCACACTTGAGTGTCTAATTAAACTTTTTTTCCTTCAACATGTGTGTTGATCCTTTGGCACGAGTGTGTCGTTGTCCTGAAAGGTTTAGTTGGAAGTGTAGTGTGTTTTAACAGTGTGTTTTACGTGTTTCAGTGTGATCCTGCCTTGCTGCCAGAACCCAACCACGTGATGCTGAATCATCTGTACGCGCTCTCCATAAAGGTACGTTATACACCTGCTATCAATCGTACTCCTATATAATAAAGATCAATAATTGACGGATTGTTCTGTCTCAGGATGGTGTGATGGTTCTCAGTGCAACTCACCGTTATAAGAAGAAATATGTGACGTCTCTTCTGTACAAGCCTATTTAATGAGCTCTGGATGCATCTACAGTCTGAGATTGCACTATTAACCTGCGAAACGTACAGCGGATCTGTCAGCTGGAGACTTCAACAGTGTGTGTGCGTGTGTGTGTGTGCGCGTGCATGTCTTTTATCTACCGTCATCACAGGGACATCTGAGCATCTTAGGTGCAGTATTTTGCGATTGCAATCCAGATTTTTTCTGTCTAAAGCGCTTTATGAAATTCTGCAAAACACACACAGGGAGATTATAATCAAAAGCCAGTTCAAGTTTTGAGTTTTAGCATAGATTAACTTTAAATACAATGTTCTTCATTCTAAGCTTTTATAGTCCTAATTCATTTTATAAACCGAGTGAAAGACTTGCGTACGTGTCGTTTCCGGAAGGAAAGCAGGTTTCAGCCACAGTGGCGTTGAGTTTTTGCTCCCACAGAACCGTTGGCTTCGTCGCCACTGATGGATGTGCTTTGAGCAGAGTCACTATGGTAGGATTTCAACAATACAAAACTTCAGGAGTGCACTGAACCGATTAAAAACATTTACAGCGGCATCACAGAATGTCTCAAACAGATCTGGACTGAGTTTGTGGAGTTTTACTGCATGTGGTTTTAATTTCACCTTGATGCTGTACAGACGAGCACTTTATCTGTGCTTCACTGTGACAGACAAACAAGCTTTCTTTGTTTTATTGAGCAGGAATGTATTTTTGCATCTGTTAAATGTTATTTATTTGATACACAGACGCTATTGGCCAAAAGGATGTGGACCCCCAGTATCGGCTGGCTTGTTCCAGTGTTTCAGCGAACCTGCGCTCGGGTCATTGTTGCGCTAGAAGAGAAAACAAAGTTTTACCTGTAATTTTAAGACTCATTTTTGATAGAATTGACCCACGTTAATTAAGAACTGGGTGTCTACATGCGATTGGCCATATAATGTACGTGTTTGTCTTTAAATACGCGTGGTGTGAAGTGGTTGGTGTTATTATTTCTGGCCATCATCAATATTAAATGTTGAAACAGAATGTTATCAGGACCCAACCTGAACTATTTTATTTGAGGTTGATGATGAGGAAGGTGTAGTTTGTTCATAAGGATAGTGTGGGGTTTCCATTCACTCCAAAGGTAATGACGTAATATGGTGTTAAGTGTGATATCCCAAAGGAAAGTTGCTCAAAACATGATTTTCATGAGGAAACGGCAACATCACAGCTTTAAATGCTTTTACGGGATATTGTTTCGAGGGGAAATCCACGAACTTGAACTTTTTTCTTTTATCATATGTACTGATAATAAATCATGTGTTGATAAACTATGCATTAGATGATGGGTGTGTTGCCGTCAAAAATAATAAAGGAAACCATTCTGGTTGATTTGATCCAGTTTCTTTGATTTTATTTAAAAAACAAGCAAAATTAAAATGAATGCATTTCTATCGTTTATTCATGATTAAATTCCAAAAGCAGCTTTCATAATTCATGGCACATATTCAGCAGCTTCAGACACAGAGTTTGATTGGCTCTTGCGTCGGCAGTCTTTTGTTACATTACACAATCAGTAACTATGGCAACAAATGAGCCTTCGAGCACTATATATACAAATTATACCGATTTTAGAACCAACAAATATATATGCTTATTTTTCTCTCCACCGGAATTCAAGTCTCCTTTTTCCTTTCCCTTTGGTAGTTAATCCAAAACGTCGAAAGTATCACATCAATGCTTTTCATTTGTGGTTCTGAATAAAGTGATTCTGCGATGTGCTCACAAGGCCATTTAAGACTATTGCATTTCTCACTGAAGAGGCTGTTTAAAGGCAAAGCAAGCGTACGTTTTCATCCTTTGCAAGAGATTTGAGGCAAGGCAACTCTGCAATATTTTAGGCAACTTCTACAGGTTATAAATTGGTGAAATGTACACGGTAAACGCATCTACAATACGTGATGCCTCATGTCAGGGTCAAATGGCTATTGCACAGCTACCCATCTTTAGAAGATCTGCATATTCTATAGCAAATGTTGACTATATTTACCCACACTGCAAAATTAAAACAACATGAAGGCATATATTATGTACAGTTCTCAAATAAATCATACAGCACCTGATCTCCAATCCTCTGCCAAAGTTTGCCATCTCTAGTTCAGAAATCTCCAACACTGTCATTGATCATATTTGCACTAATCAGTCAACTTATCTGAACTTTACATGTTTTTCAGTTGCAAGAAATCACAACTTTCCATTTGTCCTCTTAAACATCCCATTTATTCAGTTGTGAATAAAGTTTGTATATCTGTGGCGTAAAGCTCAAACCTTGAGAATTCATACAAGGTTGTTCAAATAGAGCTCGTGAAGTTAGTTTGAACTCTTAAGGCAAAACGAGGGAAACGAGCCATGCAAACTTTGGCATGTTTGGTGAGCCTCGCCTCACAAGAAACAGGTGTTTTATCCTTAATCGACCTCCATCATGCAGATACTAAACACAACAATCTATTTCAGTCAGTAGTACTGCAGAACGATGACAAGAACAACAATCATAATAATACGAACAGTGGCACAATATATGACAGTCAATGAGACTCATGCTTCCAAGTGTTATTGCCAAAAATCCCTGAGATACTCGAGGGGATTCTGAGGCAGTCTCTTTATATCCGTTTATCTCAAAGTCAAGAACATTTCCTCTCCGTTTCGTGGCAGAAGATAAATACGGTAAAATTCTTCTCACAAACACAGAATCAGATAGGCATGTGGGTTTAGACAGCCCACCATCAAAGGAAATGACACAGCAGAACTTGGCCAGAGAAGCGTAAGGCGTGAGAGTTAGTGGAGAAACTCCCTGACCCGCTGGGCCGGCCGCTGCAGACTCGTCTCAGGACACGCGGGGTTCACGCGAGCAGAAGAGGAGGAGGAGGAGGAGGCTTTACCTGGAGAACAGAGGCAAACACCCTAAAGCACCCGATCACCATCGAGGAGACCATCACAACAACATCAGGGGGAGCTGAGCTGCATTCCAGAGGTATACACACACTCACACACACACACACACACGCACACACTCTCTGTTTATGCAGCACCAACTTTGGAATCAACAATGGCCACAGACAAGGTAGAGTAAAATGCATGATTTTATGAAAGTATGATGTAACGCTTGCTGTAAAACAAGTCAAATTTGTAGTTTTCTTATGTCTCATTTGGACTACAGAAACGCGACCCGATCTGGAACTCTTACATAGCGTGGATATGTCAGATAAAGGACCGCAAAGCGGTGGCATAAGTGCATTTCACCATGTCACGACTTGATGAACCACTGAAACAAGTTGAAGGTAAAAATTCTTACTTGGTGAAATCATTTTAAAAAAATGATTTCGGGGCATCACTAGTTGTGTTTTATAGTGCAATGAGAGTGAGCAGCACGTATGATGATATCTCTTTCACAGCTGTAATCATGAGTAACTCAAACAAACACGTGATCCAACCCATGATGCAACACGACTGATCTCAAACACTCCAGAGCCGACATGCACTCGGCACAACACTGACCGTTACCATGGCAAAGGGAGGAAGAGGAGGAGCTTAGAGAGGAAATCCTCAGTTCATTCTTCTGGAAACACTCGGAGAAAATGAAACAAATGGAGGAAAGACAGAAAAAAGACAGAAGGAGTCGGAGATTCAAGATGAGGGACAAACACGAGACAAACAGCACTGAACCCAAACCCAACACTCACCTCCAGATTCGCTCGAGCTTTCTTCAGCACGTCTCGAGTCCGGGACACTGTAACACAGACGTGTGTGTGAAAGCTCTGATGACATCACTACACCCAAACACAAAACCTCAAACTACTGAAACCAATCAAACATGATCCTGAGCTTTTGACTGGAGAGTGTTCGAAACTATCAAGAGCATAAAGCACGACAGAAATAAAGGCTGAGACTCAATCGAGTGTTTTAATGAACACATGTTACACTTTCAGACAGCGCTGTGCAATCTGAGCAGCTTCATTTCAGATTTCAGATTCTAGCGATTAGATCTAAATGATTGTGTCGCATGTTATTTGCAATTCTTCTCTCGTTCTGTCATTTGTTATAAATCCAGTGCATCTCTTTCCTTCGTTGCAGTGTGCTTTGGTTCCTCCAAACCCTAATCTCCAAATCAGGGAATGTGACGAAAAATCTGTCGAAAAATACAGTCCACTGTTTTTTAAAAAAAACTAAAACTGTGGACTCAAAATAATCACAGAACATGCCTTATTGGCAGACGTTTTCTCTGTAGAAAAGCCAAGTATACTTTTGGACTTCAGTCGTCAAATACAGACCAAAATATGTCAAAATGCCCAATTTCGTTTCAAGAGAAAATCATTCACTGCTTTTGACTAAACTTACTTTAGTAAGATCTTTATACATTTAATTAATCCAGTAAAGACTATTGCACTGTGTTTTATTTCACATTTATGTCTGTGGAAGGACATCACTGGCCTATGTAACCGCTCCACACGGGTCCTAATCGAATTATTAATTATTAATTAAAATATCCCCACATCATCACACACCATTCACCATGCCTAGAGATTGGCATGGTTTTACTTCAGTTAGCCTAATAGCTGGTTTGATTTGCATTGAAAGATGATCTTATGGAAAGTACCCCATGCCAATCTCTAGGTGTGGTGAAGGTGTGTGATGATGTGGGGATATTTTAATCCCAAAGGCCAAGGGAACTTTATCAGGATACATATTATCCTGGATCCATGAAATAACTGGCTTTTAAAAATAAAAATCTGCCTGACTCTATGGGAATTTAACATAGGGGTGTCCTGACTTATGCACCCTGTATTTTAAGGAAAACCATTTATTTATTTATGATACATTATTCATTCACAAAGAAAATTTGTGTCCTTAAAGGTTGGAGTTTTCCTCATTTTTCTAATTAAGGCATTAAGATCAATATCCAAAAGATGATTTTTTATTCCTCTTTTTAGGCAACTTTAGCATGGGTGCCAAAACTTATTCACATCACTGTATATCATGATTTAAGATTTTGGTCATGTCGTGTTAAATAATAAAAACGTCAATATTGACCAAAAGAATCATGATCTCGGATTTTGCTGTAATCGAGCAGCCCTCGTTTCTGATTTGTTTGAGTTTCAGGAACTGGGTAAAAACTGGCGCCCTGAACAGGCGGTTGAACTCACGCTGGTTGACGATGAAGGTCTCCATGCTTTCTTTGGTTCTGCTGGTGGAGCGCAAACGTGTGATGGTTCCCTGGAGAACCTCCTCCTGCTGGGCGATCCGCAGTCGCAGGAACTGGATCTCCTCGCGCATCGACTGCTCCTGGGAGGAACATTTGAACATTTATGTGGCCTTTCATTTTTTAGGAATCAATGAATGTTGAGCAAGTGCTGAGATGTTCGAACCCTCTGAAGGAGATGAACGGGCCCGTCGCTGCTTGGCAGAGCTGCTCGCCAGAACATCTTCAGCAGAGAGACGGCCTCGTCCAGAATCTGGTGCAAGGTCTTGGTGTCCGAGAGCAGCGCCTTCACCGTGCTGTAGTCCAGAGCCTATGAGAGATTGGACACGTGAGATGGGATTCTGACAGCTTGATCCGACAGCAGGTCTGAGCTTCACCTTCTCCATCAGAGCCGAGTCCAGACTCTCGGTCAGCGCCGCCTCCATCCGCTGGACCAGAACCCGGGCCTCCAGAACCTGCTGCTGCAGAGACCCGTGATCATCCACGTGCCCGACCGCGTGACGCCCGTTACTGTGGGCGAACGACCCGTCCGGAGCTTCTCCTTCCAGGTCCGCCTGAGGCTCCAGAGAGTCTGAGGAGAACACACATTTTATTCTTCTCTTTGACCTATCAAGTACAACTGAGCATTAGTCTGGTTCTCGACCAGAAGTACTTCAGCAGGTTCCAGGAGATAGTTGAAAAAAAGTTTATCTATGACTTGAACAAGACAAACAAGCTGTTCTCGATGAAGGGAGAAGCCAAGTTTTATTATTGTAGCAGTTCAATTCCAAAATTCCATTTTTAATTCCATTCAAAGCTATTTGAAGGCCCTCCTTTTCAGCCGCAATGAAAAGTAAGTACAGTGACATCAACGTCGCAGCTGCAGTTCACGGTTAGCACACACACACACCGTTAGTCTCCTCCATCTCCGAGTATGGCGAGTACAGTGGCCCGGCTGGAAACGGACCCACATCTCTGACCGGAGGAGAAGGAGACGGGTCTGTGGAACATGGCAGAGTGATGGGTTTTTGTAGTTGTTAAATTGCACAAGCAAGACAGCCAAAGTGAAATGAAGTCGTCAACAGGTTACCGTGCAGAATCAGTCGCCGGTAAAGCACGTCTCTCAGTGGACTGGCCGGAACGATGGGTGACCGGCGCTGATCGGACGAGTGATCCAGCTTCTGGAGTTGAGCTCGAAGAGAACTGTTCTCCTGTACACTAACCTCCAGCTGGACCCTGAGAGCCCGAACCTCCACCAGCAGCTCTTGCAAATCCACTGACGGGCACGGCACCTCACACACACACCCTGGGGGGAATATAGCACACGTCTCATATGGACTACTTTTATGGTCGTTTTATGATGCTTTGGTCATTTCTGGAGTTGGATTGGTCTGCGTTTAATGCAGCCTTTCTAAACTGATGTGTTTCAGGTACAGGTTTGCAATAATATGAGTGTGAATAAACAATTCCAGAAGAGTTTTATTTTTGAGGGTGTGATGTTTCTAACGTGCACAGAGCTTGTGGGGTCTTACCTGCAGCTGTGCCCTTTCCACCGACACACACTTGGTTGTACAGCTGTAGTTCACTCTGTAGGGAGTGTAGAAGCTGTCTGCTCTCTGCTAACTGCTGCTGGAGTAAACTCACCTCGTGCTGCAGTCTAAACACACATCACCAGAGACACAGCCTTTCATTCATGTGGATATCTACCAACCACAACCATCTAAAATGGCCAGTCACTCAACTGAAACTACTTTCTTTACATGAAGCTAGTCTTCATTTAGTTTCTCTGACCTGTTGTTGTGCTCCTGAGAGTTTTGTCTGTCTTGTCGCAGTTGTTGGATTTGTAGACTTTGCTCACAGTTGTGCATCTGCAGCCTCCTCAACTCCTCCTTCCATTGCCCCGCCTCTAACTCCGCCTCTAACTCCGCCTGCTGCAGGCGAACACGCCCAGACAGCACCGCCTCCCTGAGCTGCTTCACCTCTTCACTGCTGTCTGCATCGGACAAATATCAGATGATCTGGTTTTATCATCACAGATTTTAAGCTCTACAGAGTCTTGCAGACAGTGACAATCATCCAACAACAAAGACTTAATGTGAATAAACGTGTGTGTGTGTTTTGATGAATTACATACCCACTTTTAGTATTAAATGCATTATGTAATTCATTATGTGAATTGTTGAACTTGTGTTTAGAAGTGTTGTCCACAAATTATGTCTATGTGCACTGCAGATTGGTGGACTGGGTGAAAGAAGAGCTATTAACAGTTGTCCAGTCATTTGGGGAAGGCATTTCTTTCTTCTCCATTGTAACGGTGGGATCCAGATGCAGCAAACATTTATTCAACAAAAGTAAACCCAGCCAGATCTCTAAACTCCGGCCAGTTGGTAATACCTACAATATCTAAATCGACTGCTGGAGGTAAATCTTTTGAACAATCTTCCTAACATTGTCCAGGAAGCATACACACTCTGTCGGTACAAAGCTAGACTAAAAACACATCTCTTTAACCTAGGTAAAAATCCTGATGTACTTGTTACATCATAAGAAATATGGCGCCTACGCAACTAGTCTCTTTGTTTATCCCGAGGTTTACCGCAGTCCGCCGGATCCAGGCCGTATCTGGATCTGATGAAGGACCAGCGTCTGGACACGACGACAACGCAGTCCTAAAGTGTCAACTAGTCTCTCCCCCTCCCTCCCCTTTACCTCTGTACAGATAAAACGTTGTCAGAATGATTCCAGTTCACGCGACACGTGGAAGCTTTAAAAAAATCTGTTATAAATTTTGTAAGGCTTTTGGTACCGGTTTCATGGTTTGTGTTCTTGAGCAACCAGGAACTGTTTTGTGCAAATGAGCGGCCGGATCGCATTAAGGGCCAGGGAGGCGCCGACAGTTCAGACGCCCAAGGAGGCGTCATAGATCCTCTTCTTAAAATGACACCATGAATTGAACTGAGCTTTTTGTGTGTGTGTGTGTGTGTGTGTGTGTGTGTTTGTTTACCTCTGCTGGCTTGTATCCTGGACTGCAGTGCAAGATTTTCCTCCTTTAATGCTCTGATTTCATTGGTTAGTTGACTGACTGTACCATGGCTCTGGATAAAGATGTTGGTTGGAGCTGCTGTTAAACACACACACACATAAACACACACACACCAGTTATAAGCCATAAGTGTGTTGGTAATGGTTTTTACATCTGTAAACAATCACACAAATGAGTTAAAACACTGTTGTTTTGCATTAAACAGCTCAGGGATATCTGCAGTCATCAAGACTGAACAGAGATTGATCGGCTGATTGAGAACACTGTGTTGATTGAACTGTTGTTTAAAAGCAATGTGACTGACAGTCATCGTTATTCTTAATATCAGTCATGTGATGATTTGCAGTCCAATCAGAGCAGTGATAATCACATTCAGATAAAAATCATGAATGAAAGTGTCACTCGTACTCACTCTCTCTCACACACACACACACACACCTGTGTCTCTCGCTGTGGACAGGCGTCCCTGTAACTGCTGTCTCAATCTCTCATTGGTTCTGATGGAATCTTCCAGTCGTTGGCGCAGAGATCGAATCTCTCTCAGATGCTCCTCGATCACGTCTACACCTGTCAAAACCATCACATCATGATCCTCACAACATGATCAACACATCATAATCATCACATCATGATCCTCACAACATGATCATCACATCATAATCATCACATCGTGATCATCACATCATGATCCTCACATCATGATCCTCACATCATGATCATCACATCATAATCATCACATCATGATCCTCACATCATGATCCTCACAACATGATCAACACATCATGATCCTCACATCATGATCCTCATATCATAATCATCACATCAAAATCATCACATCATGATCCTCCCATCAATAATCATCACAACATGATCATCACATCATGATCCTCACATCATAATCATCACATCGTGATCATCACATCATGATCCTCACATCATGATCCTCACATCAAAATCATCACATCATGATCCTCCCATCAATAATCATCACAACATGATCATCACATCATAATCATCACATCATGATCCTCCCATCAATAATCATCACAACATGATCATCACATCATGATCATCACATCATGATCCTCCCATCAATAATCATCACAACATGATCATCACATCATGATCATCACATCATGATCCTCCCATCAATAATCATCACAACATGATCATCACATCATGATCCTCACATCATGATCCTCACATCATAATCATCACATCATGATCCTCACATAATGATCCTCAAATCAAATCACCACATCATAATCATCACATCATGATCATCACATCAAAATCATCACATCATAATCATCACATCATGATCCTCACATCATGATCCTCACATCATTATCATCACATCAGAATCATTACATCATAATCATCACTTCATAATCATCACATCATGATCATCACATCATGATCCTCACATCATAATCATCACATCATAATCATCACATCATAATCATCACTTCATAATCATCACATCATAATCATCACATCGTGATCCTCACATAATGATCCTCACATCGTGACCCGCCCATCAATAATCATCACATCATGATCATCACATCGTGATCCTCACATCATAATCCTCACATCATAATCATCACATCATAATCATCACATCATGATCATCACATCGTGATCATCACATCATGATCCTCCCATCAATAATCATCACAACATGATCATCACATCATGATCATCACATCATGATCCTCACATCATAATCATCACATCATGATCATCACATCGTGATCATCACATCATGATCATCACATCATGATCCTCACATCATGATCCTCACATCATAATCATCACATCATGATCCTCACATAATGATCCTCAAATCAAATCACCACATCATAATCATCACATCATGATCATCACATCAAAATCATCACATCATAATCATCACATTATGATCCTCACATCATGATCCTCACATCATTATCATCACATCATAATCATCACTTCATAATCATCACATCATGATCATCACATCATGATCCTCACATCATAATCATCACATCATGATCATCACATCGTGATCATCACATCATGATCATCACATCACGATCCTCACATCATGATCCTCACATCATAATTATCACATCATGATCCTCACATAATGATCCTCAAATCACCACATCATAATCATCACATCAAAATCATCACATCATAATCATCACATCATGATCCTCACATCATGATCCTCACATCATTATCATCACATCAGAATAATCACATCATAATCATCACTTCATAATCATCACATCATGATCATCACATCATGATCATCACATCATGATCATCACATCATGATCATCACATCGTGATCATCACATCGTGATCATCACATCATGATCATCACATCATGATCCTCACATCATAATCATCACATCATGATCCTCACATAATGATCCTCAAATCAAATCACCACATCATAATCATCACATCATGATCATCACATCATAATCATCACATCATGATCCTCACATCATGATCCTCACATCATTATCATCACATCAGAATCATCACATCATAATCATCACATCATGATCATCACATCATGATCATCACATCATGATCCTCACATCATGATCATCACATCGTGATCATCACATCATGATCATCACATCATGATCCTCACATCAAAATCATCACATGATGATCATCACATCATGATCCTCACATCATAATCCTCACATTATGATCATCAAATCAAAATCATCACATCATGATCACATCATGATCCTCCCATCAATAATCATCACAACATGATCATCACATCATGATCCTCACATCATAATCATCACATCATGATCATCACATCATAATCCTCACATTATGATCATCACATCAAAATCATCACATCATAATCATCACATCATGATCCTCACATCATGATCCTCACATTATGATCATCACATCAAAATCATCACATCATGATCATCACATCATGATCATCACATCATGATCCTCACATCATAATTATCACATCATGATCATCACATCATGATCCTCACATCATAATCATCACATCATGATCATCACATCGTGATCCTCACATCATAATCATCACATCATGATCCTCACATCATGATCCTCACATCATTATCATCACATCAGAATAATCACATCATAATCATCACTTCATAATCATCACATCATGATCATCACATCATGATCATCACATCATGATCATCACATCATGATCATCACATCGTGATCATCACATCGTGATCATCACATCATGATCATCACATCATGATCCTCACATCATAATCATCACATCATGATCCTCACATAATGATCCTCAAATCAAATCACCACATCATAATCATCACATCATGATCATCACATCATAATCATCACATCATGATCCTCACATCATGATCCTCACATCATTATCATCACATCAGAATCATCACATCATAATCATCACATCATGATCATCACATCATGATCATCACATCATGATCCTCACATCATGATCATCACATCGTGATCATCACATCATGATCATCACATCATGATCCTCACATCAAAATCATCACATGATGATCATCACATCATGATCCTCACATCATAATCCTCACATTATGATCATCAAATCAAAATCATCACATCATGATCACATCATGATCCTCCCATCAATAATCATCACAACATGATCATCACATCATGATCCTCACATCATAATCATCACATCATGATCATCACATCATAATCCTCACATTATGATCATCACATCAAAATCATCACATCATAATCATCACATCATGATCCTCACATCATGATCCTCACATCATGATCATCACATCAAAATCATCACATCATGATCATCACATCATGATCATCACATCATGATCCTCACATCATAATTATCACATCATGATCATCACATCATGATCCTCACATCATAATCATCACATCATGATCATCACATCGTGATCCTCACATCATAATCATCACATCATGATCATCACATCATGATCCTCACATCATAATCATCACATCATAATCATCACATCGTGATCATCACATCATGATCATCACATCATGATCCTCACATCGTGATCATCACATCATGATCATCACATCATGATCCTCACATCATAATCATCACATCATGATCATCACATCGTGATCATCACATCGTGATCATCACATCATGATCATCACAACATGATCATCACATCATGATCATCACGTCATAATCATCACATCGTGATCATCACATCGTGATCATCACATCATGATCATCACATCATGATCCTCACATCATAATCATCACATCATGATCATCACATCGTGATCATCACATCGTGATCATCACATCATGATCATCACAACATGATCATCACATCATGATCATCACGTCATAATCATCACATCATAATCATCACATCATGATCATCACATCGTGATCATCACATCGTGATCATCACATCATGATCATCACATCATGATCCTCACATCATGATCCTCACATCATAATCATCACATCATGATCATCACATCGTGATCATCACATCATGATCATCACAACATGATCATCACATCATGATCATCACGTCATCTTTTATTACTTAGTATTTTTGTCTTGTTTTCAGTCCAATATGCCTTTACTTGATGAGTAAAATGACATAAGATATAACAGTATGTCCTTCTTTTTGCGGGGAATGAATCAATATTAAGTGAGCTGTTGCTTAAGAAAGCAAAATTATCTGGCAGTGGGGTAAGAAAAATGTTAATTCAAACTTAAACAAGATTATTTGTCTTAGCCCATTGGCAGATAATTTTCTTGTTTTAAGCAAAAACTTTCTTAATTTTAATTTATTTAATCAGAAGTCAAGACGTAATATCTTATGTCATTTTACTACTTCAGTAAATGCTTCTTGATTTAATAAATGTTTGATATTTGGACTGGAAACAAGAAAACAAAGAAGTAAGAAAATAATTTTGTGCAGTCATATCATAATTATGGCAATTTTTATTTCCATGAAATTTTTATAATCCATGAATTTGTTCTTGTTGTTCATCAGTTTGTCTTTATTTAAACCACAAATTGAGCTGCACTAGTCGCACACACACCTGATTGGCTGTTGCCAGACTGATAATACGATGATCCATTAAAACCTCTGATTGGCTGAATCATATTCTCCATGTCCCACAATGCATCTGTCTGCACAGATGGGCCTTCACTCTTCCCCAGTGCATGATGGGATACAGGCATGTGTGCGGCCAGCTGATAGCTGGAGAGAGAGTGTGGCGCGCTGAACACTGGTGGAGAAAGAGAAATTAGCAGTGTCTTCATAACTGTGTTCCTTTCTGGAAAGAAATGATTTCTGAGCGGATTTCCAGTCCGGATTTAGACCGTACCATAGTACCGAGACAGCTCTCATTAGAGTCACACATGATCTGCTCTCATCATCCGATCGTGGTTGTATCTCTCTATTAGTGTTACTTGATCTTAGTGCTGCATTTGACACAATCGACCACAACATTCTATTAAATAGACTAGAAAACATTAATGTTGGCATTTGAGGAATTGCATTAGCATGGTTTAAATTACACTTATCTGAACGTTATCAGTTTGTAGCAGTAAATGAAGAGATGTCTTATCGATCGCGAGTTCAGTATGGCGTACCACAAGGCTCAGTAGTAGGACCGCTGCTGTTCACTCTGTACATGCTGCCATTAGGAGATATCATTAGGAAGCATGGCATTAGTTTTCACTGTTATGCTGATGATAGTCAGTTCTATATTTCTTCGCAACCTGACGAAACGCACCAATTCACAACATTAATGGAAAGCATAGCTGATATAAAAATTTGGATGACGAGTAATTTCCTACTGCTGAAAAAAACAGATTCTAATTATTGGCCAAAAGCTTCCTCACGTAATAACCTAGAATACTGTCTAACACTTGATGGCTGTTCTGTCAAGTTTTCGTCGTCGGTTAGGAACCTTTGTGTGTGTGTGTGTGTGTGTGTGTGTGTGTGTGCTCTTTGATACCAACCTTTCATTTGAAAGTCAAGTTTCTAGCATCTGTAAAACCGCATTCTTCCATCTTAAAAATATATCTAAATTACGACATATGCTTGATTTTCTTCTAGTTCTGCAGTAAAGCAAAAAGAATCTCTGTTCCATTAATTTCCTGTTTTGACTGTAAAGCTGCTTTGAAATCATGTGTATTGTGAAACGCACTATAGACGCACACGTGAACAGGAAACAGTTTAATCCACTTGGTGTTCATAATTTGTGCCCAAACTCAAACAAAGCCTGAGACGTATCGCTGTAATGCACTTAGACGGATTCGGTTTTCGGGAGTACATTCAGGAGAAATGTGTTTGTAATAAACTGAACAGAAGGAGAAGAAACACCGATTACACGCAGCGGGACTCAGTTCACTGTGCGTTGCATGATGTTTGTGTGATTGTGAATTGTTTTTGCACCTCCATCTTTTGTCTCGGGCTCCGTCTCCGGTGCAAACTCACTGTCTGAGCACAGCTCCTCATTGGTGGAGCCCCTCTCGTCCGACACGAAGGAGATGCAGTCTGATTGGTCGGTTGTCTCAGAGGGGGCGTGGCTGCTGCAGGGCGTGTCACTGCGCTTCTGTAACTGTGTGTGGAGAGACTCGATGATCTGATCTTTGTGCTGGAGCTCCTTACTCAACCTGTGGAAGACGAGAACATGATCAGCTGCGAGCAGTAATCTGAGGTGAAGAAACACACACTATAATCCTGAGGAGACACTGACCTCAGCGCCAGCAGCTCGTGACCCGCTTTATCGTCTCGCTGCTCTGAACGATCACCTGATGACAGAGACACGATCAGTAGATCACACAGACACATGTCTGATGTTTCTCTGAAGAGTTTTACTGCACAATCTGAAGCGTTTGCTGCTGAAGATGATTATCATATTATATCATATATTATGCATCTTATTATATTACATTAGTGTTGTGTGTGTGTACGGACGTCCACTGATCTTGGTGCTGACTCTCTGAGCGAGTGAGGAACTCTGGGATAGCTGCTCTCGGAAGCTCTGGCTCATGTAGTAGTCGATGTCGTTGGCACGCAGCAGCTCCTCGAAGGCTTTGGTGGTGTCGCTCAGATGCTGTGTGAGGATGTGGCAGATTCCTCGGCCTTCTCTCATCTTCTGCCTCAGGTGTGACAGCTCCCGCGCCTGGGCCTGGATCAGGGTGTTGTACTTCCTGTACAGACAGGAAGAGGAAAGGTTTGGTGCTTTTATAACAGTCCTGGATGAGCTTGTTCTGTGAGCTGTGTGTGAGACTCACCCAGGCCAGGTGGCACATCTGCCCTCCTCCTGGCTCTTGCTCCGGATCTGTGTCTCCAGCAGTGCCACTCGGGTCACTAGCGCCTGCATCTCTCGGCTGGGTCTCAGCGGCCCGTCAGACTGCCAGCCCTCGTCCTCCTCCAGAGCCTCAAACGCCCAGTTCACCTGAAACACAGAACACATGGATGGATGAACACAAACTATTAATCTGAAGGAAACACAGAAGTAACAGAATGTTGAGTGATATGAAATCAACAATTCATTATACAGTTTAGTGACTGACCAGTCACAGTTAAGTATTCCAGACAACGTATCAAAGTATAATTTGATCTAACTCTGGATGAGGTGTCTTATAGACTGCCTTCTTAGCTTGCATGGCATCTGTACAATATAAGATGGCGTTTCTCCTTACGCGGGGTCACTACAGTAACATATGGCATTACCTTGCGCGGTGTCAGTACAGTAACAGATGGCGTTACCTTGCGCGGTGTCAGTACAGTAATAGATGGCGTTACCTTGCGCGGCGTGCGCTCCAGGCTGGAGGCGTAATCGGAGGTGGTCGAAAACGAGCGCATGCGCAGCTGCAGACCGCGGATCACTTTGTGGCAGCGAGAGAGTTGCGCGCGCAGGTCCTGCACCAAACACTTTAGTGAGGACGGGTCGTCGGTCTGAGCGGCATCATTGTCGCCATGCCAACCGCAGCGTTGGTTCCCCGTCACGGAGAGAGAGCCGCACATCTCCAACTCATCAAACTCTGACAGACAGATGGAGGACAGGAAAACAAACACGTCAAGACATGCGGCGGATCTTTCGCTAGAGTTTCATCCAGTGCTGAAGGTAACGAGCAGAGAAACCATATCAACTGCGGCACAGAGGCGTCCAGTAAAATGAGCATGTGGGATTTTGTTCAATGTAAACCTTATAAACAAAGTTTTAGGATTTTGAAAACTGGGCTCTATGTTTATATGACTTATCAAATGTGAGACTGATCGTTTGACTCTGATCAGATCATGGAGCTCTAGTGTTCATTCGGGCAAAAGTCCATCTTCATTTTTCCATTACATGTTTCACTCAGATTGTCATGCTGATAATATAATTTGTAATGAAAAGGTTAGACAGAAGCACTAGTGTAGTGTGTGTGTGTGTGTGTGTGTGTACCGGGGCTGCTGGCCTCCTCTCGCTCCGCTTCATTCTCACTGCGGCCGCTCGTCTCGTATCCAAGATCCTGAAGATCTACCTGTACCTGCTTACTGTCCCGCTGGACAGCGCTCTCCGCTGACAGAGACAGATCAGACAGAGACAGATCAGACAGAACAGATCAGACAGAACAGATCAGACAGAGAACAGATCAGACAGAGAACAGATCAGACAGAGAACAGATCAGACAGAGAACAGATCAGACAGAGAACAGATCAGACAGAGAACAGATCAGACAGAGAACAGATCAGACAGAGAACAGATCCGACAGAGAACAGATCAGATAGAGAACAGATCAGACAGAGAACAGATCAGACAGAGAACAGATCAGACAGAGACAGATCAGACAGAGAACAGATCAGATAGAGAACAGATCAGACAGAGAACAGATCAGACAGAGAACAGATCAGACAGAGAACAGATCAGAGAGAGAACAGATCAGACAGAGAACAGATCAGACAGAGAACAGATCAGACAGAGACAGATCAGACAGAGAACAGATCAGATAGAGAACAGATCAGACAGAGAACAGATCAGACAGAGAACAGATCAGACAGAGAACAGATCAGACAGAGACAGATCAGACAGAGAACATATCAGACAGAGAACAGATCAGACAGAGACAGATCAGACAGAGACAGATCAGACAGAACAGATCAGACAGAGACAGATCAGACAGAGAACAGATCAGACAGAGAACAGATCAGACAGAGAACAGATCAGACAGAGAACAGATCAGACAGAGAACAGATCAGACAGAGAACAGATCCGACAGAGAACAGATCAGATAGAGAACAGATCAGACAGAGAACAGATCAGACAGAGAACAGATCAGACAGAGAACAGATCAGAGAGAGAACAGATCAGACAGAGAACAGATCAGACAGAGAACAGATCAGACAGAGACAGATCAGACAGAGAACAGATCAGATAGAGAACAGATCAGACAGAGAACAGATCAGACAGAGAACAGATCAGACAGAGAACAGATCAGACAGAGACAGATCAGACAGAGAACATATCAGACAGAGAACAGATCAGACAGAGACAGATCAGACAGAGAACAGATCAGACAGAGAACAGATCAGACAGAGACAGATCAGACAGAGAACAGATCAGATAGAGAACAGATCAGACAGAGAACAGATCAGACAGAGAACAGATCAGACAGAGAACAGATCAGACAGAGACAGATCAGACAGAGAACAGATCAGATAGAGAACAGATCAGACAGAGAACAGATCAGACAGAGAACAGATCAGACAGAGAACAGATCAGACAGAGACAGATCAGACAGAGAACAGATCAGATAGAGAACAGATCAGACAGAGACAGATCAGACAGAGAACAGATCAGACAGAGACAGATCAGATCAGACAGAGACAGATCAGCCAGACACAGATCAGACAGAGTACAGATCAGACAGAGGCAGATCAGACAGAGAACAGATCAGATAGAGAACAGATCAGACAGACACAGATCAGACAGAGAACAGATCAGACAGACACAGATCAGACAGACACAGATCAGACAGAGAACAGATCAGACAGACACAGATCAGACAGAGAACAGATCAGACAGAGAACAGATCAGACAGAGACAGAGAACAGATCAGACAGAGACAGATCAGACAGAGAACAGATCAGACAGAGAACAGATCAGACAGAGAACAGATCAGACAGAGAACAGATCAGACAGAGACAGATCAGACAGAGAACAGATCAGATAGAGAACAGATCAGACAGAGAACAGATCAGACAGAGAACAGATCAGACAGAGAACAGATCCGACAGAGAACAGATCAGATAGAGAACAGATCAGACAGAGAACAGATCAGACAGAGAACAGATCAGAGAGAGAACAGATCAGACAGAGAACAGATCAGACAGAGAACAGATCAGACAGAGACAGATCAGACAGAGAACAGATCAGACAGAGACAGATCAGACAGAGAACAGATCAGACAGAGACAGATCAGACAGAGAACAGATCAGATAGAGAACAGATCAGACAGAGAACAGATCAGACAGAGAACAGATCCGACAGAGAACAGATCAGATAGAGAACAGATCAGACAGAGAACAGATCAGACAGAGAACAGATCAGACAGAGAACAGATCAGACAGAGAACAGATCAGACAGAGAACAGATCAGATAGAGAACAGATCAGACAGAGAACAGATCAGACAGAGACAGATCAGACAGAGAACAGATCAGATAGAGAACAGATCAGACAGAGAACAGATCAGACATAAACAGATCAGACAGAGAACAGATCAGACAGAGAACAGATCAGACAGAGACAGATCAGACAGAGAACAGATCAGACAGAGACAGATCAGACAGAGAACAGATCAGACAGAGACAGATCAGATCAGACAGAGACAGATCAGCCAGACACAGATCAGACAGAGTACAGATCAGACAGAGGCAGATCAGACAGAGAACAGATCAGACAGAGACAGATCAGACAGAGAACAGATCAGACAGAGACAGATCAGACAGAGAACAGATCAGATAGAGAACAGATCAGACAGACACAGATCAGACAGAGAACAGATCAGACAGAGAACAGATCAGAGAGAGAACAGATCAGACAGAGAACAGATCAGACAGAGAACAGATCAGACAGAGACAGAGAACAGATCAGACAGAGACAGATCAGACAGAGAACAGATCAGACAGAGACAGATCAGACAGAGACAGAGAACAGATCAGACAGAGACAGATCAGACAGAGAACAGATCAGACAGAGACAGATCAGATCAGACAGAGACAGATCAGCCAGACACAGATCAGACAGAGTACAGATCAGACAGAGGCAGATCAGACAGAGAACAGATCAGACAGAGACAGATCAGACAGAGAACAGATCAGACAGAGACAGATCAGACAGAGAACAGATCAGATAGAGAACAGATCAGACAGACACAGATCAGACAGAGAACAGATCAGACAGACACAGATCAAACAGAAACAGATCAGACAGAAAAGATCCGACAGAGAACAGATTCGACAGAGACAGATCAGAGAACAGATCAGACAGAGAACAGATCAGACAGAGAACAGATCAGACAGAGAACAATGTGTTTGTGTGTGGGTGTGTGGATGTGTGTGTGTGTGTGTGTGTGTGCAATCATAGGTAGTCTGCGTGTGTGGAGGAGGCGATGTCATCTTTATCCATAGTTTATTTATTTATATATTCATGTGGTTGTGACTATTGTCGATGTGTGTATTGTCTGGTGAGACATGACAGGCTCTTTGTGAATATTTGGATGCTGTGTTATTTTAATCAGTATTGGTCATTCCAAATAAAATAATCAAATGTGTGTGTGTGAGAGTGTGTGTGTCCTCACTGAGCAGCTCTCTGTAGTCGTTCAGCTGTTCGGCCTGCGCATGCACTGTTGCCTCTGACACCATCAGTCTCTCCTGCAGCTCGCGGCTCTCCTGACGACTGACAGCCAGGTCGCTACGGAGATGCTCTGCCTGCTCCCGAAGCCCCGCCTCCACATGCTGCCAGAACCCGACGGCTCCACCACCTCTGTCGCTCAACTCGTTGCTGTCGCCCTCGACCTCTCTCTCCTCATCCTGATCATAAAGCAAACAAAGCTTCACAAACACACGGCACAGCTGAAGAGTGTGTGTTCGACATAACAGATAATATCAGTGAACGAGACCCAATGCTCTAACCCTAACTTTTTAATACTACAGTTTGCACTGTATGACAGTTAACCAGGTCAAGGGTAGTGTGAGTTAACAGGTCAGGCTGAACCAGCACTGGTGAGCTGCAGGTGTGTGTGTGTGTGTGACAGCACTCGTGATTGGTTACCTGAGCTGCAGGTGTGTGTGTGTGTGTGTGTGTGTGACAGCACTGGTGATTGGTTGCCTGAGCTGCAGGTGTGTGTGTGTGTGACAGCACTCGTGATTGGTTACCTGAGCTGCAGGTGTGTGTGTGTGTGTGTGTGTGTGTGACAGCACTGGTGATTGGTTGCCTGAGCTGCAGGTGTGTGTGTGTGTGACAGCACTCGTGATTGGTTACCTGAGCTGCAGGTGTGTGTGACAGCACTCGTGATTGGTTACCTGAGCTGCAGGTGTGTGTGTGTGTGTGTGTGTGACAGCACTCGTGATTGGTTACCTGAGCTGCAGGTGTGTGTGACATCACTGGTGATTGGTTACCTGATCTGCAGGTGTGTGTGACAGCACTCGTGATTGGTTACCTGAGCTGCAGGTGTGTGTGACAGCACTCGTGATTGGTTACCTGAGCTGCAGGTGTGTGTGTGTGTGTGTGTGACAGCACTGGTGATTGGTTACCTGAGCTGCAGGTGTGTGTGACAGCACTCGTGATTGGTTACCTGAGCTGCAGGTGTGTGTGTGTGTGTGTGACAGCACTAGTGATTGGTTACCTGAGCTGCAGGTGTGTGTGACATCACTGGTGATTGGTTACCTGATCTGCAGGTGTGTGTGACAGCACTCGTGATTGGTTACCTGAGCTGCAGGTGTGTGTGACAGCACTCGTGATTGGTTACCTGTTCTGCAGGTGTGTGTGACAGCACTGGTGATTGGTTACCTGAGCTGCAGGTGTGTGTGACAGCACTCGTGATTGGTTACCTGAGCTGCAGGTGTGTGTGACAGCAGCGCTCCGAGGTCCAGCGAGTGTGGTCTGGTGCACCTCCTCTTCCTCCTGCTCTCCCGGAGCTTCACACACGGCGGCCCGCGTTTCCCTAAAGGCACTCTGACCTCTTCCTCTCCATCTTCTTCGTCAGACTCGTCCTCCTCTTCCTCGCTGCACGTACGGTAATCTCTCTGAGGCTCATGGGAGTTTCTTCGGTCTGCTTCACACTTCTCCAAACCTCGACTCCTCACACACACCTCCTCCTTCACTGCTGATCCAGACTCACTGTGATCCAGAGCAAGATGTTTTTCAGGTGTGTTTCTACGAGAGCAGAGATACGACACGCATCAGGGCAGCAGACAGAAGCTGGTGTGTGTGTGTGTGTGTGTGTGTGTGTGTGTGAAGCTGATGGATGTTACCTGACATGAGTAAGTGAGGAATCCTCAGCTTGGACCGTCACTTCAACCACCTTACATTCGTCTTGATTTCTCTCCACCTCGTCACATCTTACCCCCTCTGATGCATTGTGGGACATCAGCGGCCTGCCACCCTCCTCAGCTCTCTGACAGGAGAACACAGTAAACTACAAAATAACTCCTAACAGTGTTAAAGAGTCCATGAAACGACTCAGCGAGCCCTGCTTTCTTGCCTATGTGTGCTGATGCGTTTCCTGTCCACACAGGATGTCAGGTGGAACTTATCAAAGGGAAGAGCCAACTTATGAGGAATATTGAACTGTGTTTATGAGTTAAGATAAAGGAGTTACAGCTGGACGTATGTCCTGTGGTCTTCACAGTAAAGTGTGGCCTTCATCGGATCAGATAATCAGGAGTGTGTGATCACTAATGCTGAACGAGTGTGTGTTTCTAGTTACCTGCGCGCTCGTCAGACTTTGAGCAGTGAGTGTGATGTCATTGTCTTCGATGCTGTCGGTGAACTCTTCATCTTCATCACTGCTGTCGGGATCTTCATCATCTTCATCACTGCTGGATTCTGGAAGGGAACATGACAGAAACTGACACACATTCCTCTTCACACACTGTTTCCTTCTCCCTCTCTACGTCTCTGATGATCCAGAGCCGAACCTCCAGCCAAACCTGTTTATCATCCGCCTTTCTTTTCTTCCTTCCAATTCCCTTCCTGACAAGAAGCAAATTTAAAAGTGCTGGCTAATGCAAATTGTAAATTCTCGGCACTAATAATGTTCGAGTTCGCCAGTTGGAGATCACTAAAATTAAAGTTAAAGAGGTAGTGAACGTCTATAACCTAGATGTGCTGTGTTTGACAGAAACCTGGCCAGACGATTACATGAGTCCACCCCGCGAGATCACTGTTATAAACATGACCCTCGTCTGAAAGGCAAAGGGGAGGTGTTGCTGTGATTTATAGTAATATCTTCAGTATTACTCAGAAGTCTAGTTTTAAAGAAGTGTTGGTCCTTATGTAACACACTATCTAGTGTAAGTGTTTAGTGTATACAGGCCACCAGGGCACCATACAGACTTTATCCAATAATCTGCTGACTTTATCAGAGTTAGTCCCGGCTGCAGATAAAGTCCTAATTGTTGGTGATTTTAATACACACGTAGATACTGAAAAAGATGCATTGGGACTGGCATTTAAAGACATTATAAACTCAGACCTACTGATTGTCGTAATCATACTCTAGATCTAATATTAATAGATGTTGATGCCGTTGAAATTCTGCAGCAGAGCGACGACATCTCAGATCACTATCTAGTCTCGTGTAAACTTCACTTAGCCAAAGCCGAGTCTGTGTTATAAATATGTTAGACCTATCACTTCTGCCACTAAAGATTGCTTTATTAATAATATTCCTGATCAATGTCATCTCCTCAGCATCCCGGATAGCTCAGAAGAACTCCATATCGTGACAGAAACCTTTAACTCTTTCTTTTCCAGCACTTTAGACACATTTTCTCCGTTGAAGATTGAAGAAAATAGTCCAACGCCGTGGTACAACGAGCACACTCACACACACTCACACACACACACACACACACGCACACACACACTCACACACACACACACACACACACACACACACTCACACTGTCTTGAAGTGTCAACTAGTCTCTGCCCTAGGATGGCCTCCCTCCCTTTACCTCTGTATAGATAAAACATTGTCAAAATATTTCTTGTTCACATGGCTACTCGGAAGCGATAAATAATTCTGTATTATACATTTTTAAGGCATGACAAGTCATTTGTTTAGGTCAGTTTGTAAGGAAAGACTACATGCCTGCACACATATATATATTCAAATGCACATACCTATAGACTAAACGTGTAATACGCACGTCGTCAGCGTTTTCACATTGTGTTTTTAAAGCTTGTGCAGAGAAAAAATATATACATATACTTATATACATATATATATATATATATATATATATATATATATATATATATACACACACACACACACACACAAAAACTAACTTTATCTGGACAATAACTGTATTCTAGAGCTGCTGTAAAGCCGAAACACTCTGATGACAGAAAGATTATTCCTGTGGGGACAGCTAGCCCACTTTCTGCTCTGCCATTCTAGAAACATAAGAGCAGAAACTACAGTAGCAAAGATTGCTGTAGTACAGCTAGAATATGAAACTAACTATGAACTACAGATAAGCAGTTACACGACAGATCTAAGCGTCTTTATTACACTCACACTCATCGAAGGATCCCTGGCATCTATACATCTTCAGATCTGTATAAAGAGACTAATGTGATAAACTGTATGAATGGAATATTTGAGCATATTAGCATGAAGTGTTTTATATTGACAAATAAATATAGATGTTGTGGTTTATATTGACAGATAAATATAGATGAAGTGGTTTATATTGACAGATAAATATAGAAGAAGTGGTTTATATTGATAGATTAATATAGATGAAGTGGTTTATATTGACAGATAAATATAGATGAAGTGGTTTATATTGACAGATAAATATAGATGAAGTGGTTTATATTGACAGATTAATATAGATGAAGTGTTTTATATTGACAGATAAATATAGATGTTGTGTTTTATATTGACAGATTAATATAGATGAAGTGTTTTATATTGACAGATAAATATAGAAGAAGTGGTTTATATTGATAGATTAATATAGATGAAGTGGTTTATATTGATAGATTAATATAGATGAAGTGGTTTATATTGACAGATAAATATAGATGAAGTGGTTTATATTGACAGATAAATATAGATGAAGTGGTTTATATTGACAGATAAATATAGATGAAGTGTGTTATATTGACAGATAAATATAGAAGAAGTGGTTTATATTGATAGATTAATATAGAAGAAGTGTTTTATATTGATAGATTAATATAGATGAAGTGTTTTATATTGACAGATAAATATAGATGAAGTGGTTTATATTGATAGATTAATATAGAAGAAGTGGTTTATATTGATAGATTAATATAGATGAAGTGGTTTATATTGACAGATAAATATAGATGAAGTGGTTTATATTGACAGATAAATATAGAAGAAGTGGTTTATATTGACAGATAAATATAGAAGAAGTGGTTTATATTGATAGATTAATATAGATGTGGTTTATATTGATAATGGTGCAAAGACCCAGAGATGGTGCTAGTTTAAGATGTCAAAGGTTCACAACGCCTCAGCAAGAGTTTAAACCATCAGCAGTAATAATGACCATCATCACAACAGGAAGTACATAGGAATGCCCTATGGTGACCTCTGACCTTCAGAATAATTTGATAAAGAGATGAGTGACCAATGGAGGATCTAAACGTCAGATTGACATATTATTTATTAAAGGCAGAAGTAACTTTATATCCTGGTCCTCACGGTCAGAAATAATTAACTTGCTCGAAGTCGAGGAAGCCGATAAAAGCGGCCGTGAAATTCTGCGATATACAGTGTGTGTAATGCAGTGAACCGCACCATTCAACAGCGCATGCTTCATCCTCATAGTTCAGCTAATGATTTTAAATCTGCATATCGTCATCAAACCGCACACAGTCACAGCCATGCAGATGAGATGAACACATGCATGTGTCAAACTAAACTAAACTGTTCAATGACCAATCAAAACTACACGTGACGAGTGGCATCTTCTCTGTAGACTTCCTGTTCACACACACACACTCACCTGTTCACACACACACACACACACACACACACACACACACACTCACCTGTTCACACACACTGACCTGTTCACACACACTCACCTGTTCACACACACTGACCTGTTCACACACACTCACCTGTTCACACACACACACACACTCACCTGTTCACACACACTGACCTGTTCACACACACTCACCTGTTCACACACACTGACCTGTTCACACACACTCACCTGTTCACACACACTGACCTGTTCACACACACTGACCTGTTCACACACACTGACCTGTTCACACACACTGACCTGTTCACACACACTCACCTGTTCACACACACACACCTGTTCACACACACACTCACCTGTTCACACACACACACACACACACCTGTTCACACACACACTCACCTGTTCACACACACTGACCTGTTCACACACACTCACCTGTGACGTTTACGTTTCTCTTAATCTGAGGAAGCAACTATCCTGATTCAGGGATTTCTGAATGTTCAAAGTATAGAATTAAAATAAAAATACAGAAGGGTATCGGCCAAGAAATCTGCTTAGATTTATTTCTTTTTAGTTTGGAGTACATGATATAGATTTCATTTTTGCAGTTACAAGAACAAAGAAAGCTGGATGATGCAGTAAAATCAGTGTCATTTGGCACTAAAGTATCGTCTCGTACACACACAGAGTTAAAGTTAGAAGCCCACTCGACTGCTGAACTCACACACACACACACACACACACACACACACACACACACACAGTACAGAGGAACAGCATATCTCTACATCTGCTTCTCATTAAACGAGTCTGTGTAATTCAAATGGAATATAAAGGCATTTCTGCATCTCGAGTGTGTGAACTCAAAATCATGAATGAATACAAACATCAACACCACACACACACACCATTCACAGGCAGACTACTGGGTAAAATGGATTAAACACACACACACACACACGTATACTGTACAAACACACAGTTCTGGCGGGTTATGATCCTTCATGCTGGACTAGCGCTTCATTCAGATTAGCGTCGGCGATGGAGGCCAAACTCTGCCATGTCCCACCTCCATAATCGCCCTGGACCCGTGTGGCCCGACCCATCTCCAGTGTGTGTCGCTCCATCGCCAGCGCTGTGTGTCGACTCGTCTCCAGTGTGTGTCCCAGCAGCTCACGCAGCGCCTGAAGAGAGTTCAGCTGTTCGTCCAGCACTCGGGTCTTCTCAGCGCTGCTGGAGTCCACACACACACACACACACACACAGGTTACGACATAACCTTCTCTTCACACACACACACACACACACAGATGTGAAGGATCTGTGCTTGTGTTCTGACCTGTCTGCTGGACTCTGGACGCCTCTGAGCGACTGATAAAGACTCTTTTCGGCTCTCAGAGCTTCATTCAGCGCCTTCTGCTCCGACACGAGCTGCTGCAGAACACACTGAAACACACACACAATATGAGTACACACACACAAACACACGCGCACGCATGTACAGGCCAATAACTCATGATCTTACCTGCTGATCAGATCTCAGAGTGTCATGATGCCTCGCAGCCAAAAGAGACCGCAACTCTGACAGCTCCCGCTACACACACACACACACACAGATACACACACACACACAAGAACATCCATGGTGTGTCATTTTGGCATTTTGGCAAGCTGGGTATAAATGACTAACCCAAAATAAAAAGGTTGCTGCTAAGAAGTCATCCTGAATAGACACATAATCAACATATATTTAGAAAGCCAACATGACAGTTCAAGAATTAGCCTTCTCAGGCTGCTATTAATATAGAGATATATAATCTCAAACTTAAAAAACAGAAATAAAATTATTAAGAATATTATTTAAAATGTATAAGAATATTATGTGAATGTAGTATAACAACTTATAACCACTTAAACGGAAGCCACAAGTGTGGTCATGCTTCACTTCACATCTGAGGATGATATCTCTAAAACTATTCATTTTATTAAACATTTTCTAAGATCATGTTGTGAGTTTTTAGAGAAAGCTGATAAGATGCTAATCACATATTTTATTGACCTTTAAACCCCCATTTGCAGTCTGTTATCTAATGTCTGGCGACGAGAAATGAAAGCGTAAGTTCTACCAGAAAGACTTCACTGCCACGTCATTCATTTATAATTCCACGCTACCAATCACAGCTTGACATCGAATATAAAAGACGGATCTTACCGTTCCATATTGTTGCCTGGTAGGTGTCGTACCAAAGTTTTCCCCCATCCTCCCCACCACCACCAGAATGGTTCCCGTCCCGTCGTCGGGGGGTAGGCTCCGCCCCTGCCTCTAACGTCAGGCAGGACCTACAAGCTAACCATCAGACCCGGACGGAGGACGGGGCCTACGCCAAAGAACTCTGAGACGGAGCTTGCCGAGCATCTACTTTATTTTTGTCTGTAAACTCCTTTGATATAATAAATTCTACTTATTTGAGAATCCTTCTGAGTCTTTATGGTAGAACTGCTCAATTCTTGTTCTATTGTTCTCACTCAATGAATCTTCATTATTCTTTTATCATTATTCTTGTGTTTATATTCACCTATTATCTGAATCCACCCATTATCGATTATATTTCTAGAAAACAAACAAAAATAGCATATTCTTGGGACCTTATGTGAATTCTTGTAACTAAATAGATATAATTTTTGATATATCAAATAGAAATAGATATAGCTCCTGGCACATCATTACCATTAATCTTTTTAATATATTCAGTAAACAAATCTTTTCCAAAGTTTAGGATATGTATTGTAAAAAGGGCTATAAAAATGACATGATTTGATGTGTGTTTTACCTCAGTCTCTCTTTGTTTTCTGAGGGTCAGCTGTAGCTCATCTCTGATCGCTTGAATCTCTAGATCGCCTGAGCTGCTCGTACACACAGCTGCTCAACATAAACACACACACACACACTCAGAATGAAGAGAATCATTTTAATCGATAAAATGTTGGCTGTACAGTGGTGACACTCACCCCGTTCTGCTGCTGTGGAGCTCTGACCCTGCAGTAACTCCTGCACACATAACACATCGTTACCACAGCACAATAACGGTAGATTTACACACAGCACATCATTACCGCGGTACATTTACACACAACACCATTACCACAGTACAATAACGGTAGATTTACACACAGCACATCATTACCGCGGTACATTTACACACAACACCATTACCACAGTACAATAACGGTACATTTACACACAACACATCATTACCGCGGTACATTTACACACAACACCATTACCACAGTACAATAACGGTACATTTACACACAGCACATCATTACCGCGGTACATTTACACACAACACCATTACCACAGTACAATAACAGTAGATTTACACAGAACACATCATTACCGCGGTACATTTACACACAACACCATTACCACAGTACAATAACGGTAGATTTACACACAGCACATCATTACCGCGGTACATTTACACACAACACCATTACCACAGTACAATAACGGTACATTTACACACAACACATCATTACCGCGGTACATTTACACACAACACCATTACCACAGTACAATAACGGTACATTTACACACAACACATCATTACCGCGGTACATTTACACACAACACCATTACCACAGTACAATAACGGTACATTTACACACAACACATCATTACCGCGGTACATTTACACACAACACCATTACCACAGTACAATAACGGTACATTTACACACAACACATCATTACCGCGGTACATTTACACACAACACCATTACCACAGCACAATAACGGTACATTTATACACAGCACATCATTACCGCGGTACATCTACACACAACACCATTATCACAGTACAATAACGGTACATTTACACACAACACATCATTACCGCGGTACATTTACACACAACACCATTACCACAGCACAATAACGGTACATTTATACACAACACACCATTACTGCAGTTTATCCATTAATCCGATTTATAGAAAATAATAACTGTAGTAAGGAATAAAAACACTATAACAGCAGAAGTGTGCAAATCTGATGAAGCTCGAGAAATGAATTTTAAAGAAAATTAAGTCTGTTTAAGGACATTACGTTTAAAAACCACTAAAACAAATGTAGCCCAACAAGACTTTAGACTAGAACAAATAATGACTTAAATTATCATCACAGTGATGAACACAGTAAACAGCAGCTTGAGTAAATGTGTTTGCTCTGACCTGTATAAGGGAGTCTTTCTCCTTGAGGACGTTCTGGAGTCTCTTCAGTTCCCGGGCCGCAGGAAAGTCCCTCTCTCTCTCCCGGTTCACATCGTGCAGCTCCTGTTCCCGAGACGAAAGCTGCCGCCGCAACTCCTGCAGCTGAGCGGATCGCTCGGATATCACCCGTCCCAACCTCTCCCCGTAATCCTGTGGGAACACGAGAAACATGAGGAGACCAGAACACAGGACAGAGCATGATAACTGCTGATCATTGACACCTTCATTTCCTGATCTCGGGAGCTGATGGTGTCGAGCAGCTCCGTCAGGTGTGTATGATGTTCCTGCAACTGGAGACTGTGCTCTGACATCACTTCTTGAAATAGACGCTCTCTAGTGGAGAGACGAGTCTGGAGTTCCTGCAGGACATCAGTGGCCGACAGCTTTCCCAACAACACTGACCGGAGCTCCTGTAACACACACAGACTGACACTCAGCTGCCGCAAGCTTAATGATGTGCTGTGTGTAAAGGTACCACGGTAATAATGTGTTGTGTGTAAATGTACCGCGGTAATGATGTGTTGTGTGTAAATGTACCGTGGTAATGATGTGCTGTGTGTAAAGGTACCACGGTAATAATGTGTTGTGTGTAAATGTACCGCGGTAATAATGTGTTGTGTGTAAATGTACCGCGGTAATAATGTTTTGTGTGTAAATGTACTGCGGTAATGATGTGTTGTGTGTAAATGTACCACGGTAATGATGTGTTGTGTGTAAATGTACCACGGTCATGATGTGCTGTGTGTAAATGTACCGCGGTAATAATGTGTTGTGTGTAAATGTACCGCGGTCCTGATGTGCTTTGTGTAAATGTACCACGGTAATAATGTGTTGTGTGTAAATGTACCGCGGTAATGATGTGTTGTGTGTAAATGTACCGCGGTAATGATGTGCTGTGTGTAAATGTATCGTGGTAACGATGTGTTGTGTGTAAATGTACAGCGGTAATGATGTGCTGTGTGTAAATGTACCGCGGTAATGATGTGTTGTGTGTAAATGTACCGCGATCATGATGTGCTTTGTGTAAATGTACCACGGTAATAATTAGGGATGTCCCGATCCGATCCACGGCATCGGTATCGCGCCGATACCGGCCCAGAACGCTAGATCGGAGATCGGAGGGGAGAAAAAAATATGAGCGATATCCAGTTTAGCGGTGCAGCCTGTCACGTGATAATTGTTGTGTTTACGCACACGCGCGCAGAGAATCACTCTCGCTTTGCGTGTCAAGAGCGAAACTGGCGCGCGTAAAAGGGCCGTTACATAGTCAACGCGAGCTACGCGAGAAAGCAACGCGAGTGACGCGAGCGACGCGCTTCCTTTCAAGTTTGAAGCGAAATTTACGCGCGTGACGCGCGTCAGAATCAAAATCCGTTGGCGGTCATTGTTTTTATGTCGACCGAGCATTCATCAAGAGAGTTACGCTCTGTATTTACTCTGGATAGCAGAACAGCGGCGTGGGGATCATCGTCGCCGTATATTTGTGTCCACCGGACCCTTCGGAGCCGAACCATTTGGCGAGTTTCACCATTTGCTCGCTCCAGGAGCTGCGCTGGATGACGGCCGCTGTCAGCGGTACTTCCGCCTGTCACGCGCCAGTTTGATGACCTGTTGTCCCGCATCTGAGCGAGGATCACCCTCGCCCGGCCCCTCATCCATCTAATCTAGCTGTCATTTATTTTTGTTTGATAATAAATAGAGCCAGCCTTCAAAAGTTATTAACCTGTCCTGTGATTTTTTTTCTCTCTCTCACGTCCAGACACGAATTTATGCACATATGTTGATTGTCTTTACAACATAATACTATTTCTAGATATGGAATGAATAACATTCAATACAAAATGAACATGTCTCCATATAGAAATAATGTTTTAAGTGATGAAACATTTGCTTTGTTGTGCATAATCCCACCATGCATTTAGTCATAGTTCAAAATAATTTATTGAAGCATCCAGACACTTCACCACGTGAGCAAGCAGCTAGGCTCCTGATTGGTTAACGCGGCGCGAATTCACGCCAAAGTTCAGCCAACTTGACGCGCGAATGAGGCGTATTCGCGTCTTCCGCGCCGCGCTCCACGCCTTCGCGCCGCAGGAATTTTTCTTGCATTGACTTAACATTGAAATCATTCGCGCCTGACGCCCTATTCGCGTCCGGTGTGAACGTAGCATTAGTGCGTCGAAGTTGTGATAGCGCTGTCGGCTAACGCGAAATGCTACTATTTACATTCCATGGATGTTTATTCATATATACAATTGTTTTGGACTAAAAACTTCTTCAAATTGGATTGTATGGACGCTTTACAGTGAAACCAAACCATTTTTGTTGGAATGTGGACTAACAGATGGCTAATTGGTGAGTTTCTTCCAGTTTGTGTTGGTTTGTTTTGGCTGTTGGTGGTCTGACAAAGAGACAGATTGTGCCCGCTGTGTTGATTGTATCTTAAAATGGTTTACGTCGTTCGAATCACGAGTTTCTCAGCTTTCCAAAGATATGTATTATGTTTACTTTTGTGTTTGTTTTGTTTTGTCTTTCACAAAGTTAAACCTATAAACCACCCTGTGGGCCGTATACGGCACGTCGGACCACGAAAAAAAAAATATCGGACTAATATCGGTATCGGCAAAAGCCAAAGGTGCGGCATCGGTATCGGTATCGGAAGTGAAAAAGTGGTATCGGGACATCCCTAGTAATAATGTGTTGTGTGTAAATGTACCGCGGTAATAATGTGTTGTGTGTAAATGTACCGCGGTAATGATGTGTTGTGTGTAAATGTACCACGGTAACGATGTGTTGTGTGTAAATGTACAGCGGTAATGATGTGCTGTGTGTAAATGTACCGCGGTAATGATGTGTTGTGTGTAAATGAACCGCGATCATGATGTGTTGTGTGTAAATGTACCACGGTAATGATGTGTTGTGTGTAAATGTACCGTGGTAATAATGTGTTGTGTGTAAATGTACCGCTGTAATGATGTGTTGTGTGTAAATGTACCACTGTAATGATGTGTTGTGTGTAAATGTACCGCTGTAATGATGTGTTGTGTGTAAATGTACCACTGTAATGATGTGTTGTGTGTAAATGTACCGTGGTAATAATGTGTTGTGTGTAAATGTACCGTGGTAATAATGTGTTGTGTGTAAATGTACCGCTGTAATGATGTGTTGTGTGTAAATGTACCGTGGTAATTATGTGTTGTGTGTAAATGTACCGTGGTAATAATGTGTTGTGTGTAAATGTACCGCTGTAATGATGTGTTGTGTGTAAATGTACCGCTGTAATAATGTGTTGTGTGTAAATGTACCGCTGTAATGATGTGTTGTGTGTAAATGTACCGTGGTAATGATGTGTTGTGTGTAAATTTACCGTGGTAATGATGTGTTGTGTGTAAATGTACCGCGGTAATGATGTGTTGTGTGTAAATGTACCGCGGTAATGATGTGTTGTGTGTAAATGTACCGTGGTAATGATGTGTTGTGTGTAAATGTACCGCGGTAATGATGTGTTGTGTGTAAATGTACCGTGGTAATAATGTGTTGTGTGTAAATGTACCGTGGTAATGATGTGTTGTGTGTAAATGTACCACGGTAATGATGTGTTGTGTGTAAATGTACTGTGGTAATGATGTGTTGTGTGTAAATGTACCGCTGTAATGATGTGTTGTGTGTAAATGTACCGTGGTAATGATGTGTTGTGTGTAAATTTACCGTGGTAATGATGTGTTGTGTGTAAATGTACCGCGGTAATGATGTGTTGTGTGTAAATGTACCGCGGTAATGATGTGTTGTGTGTAAATGTACCGTGGTAATGATGTGTTGTGTGTAAATGTACCGCGGTAATGATGTGTTGTGTGTAAATGTACCGTGGTAATAATGTGTTGTGTGTAAATGTACCGTGGTAATGATGTGTTGTGTGTAAATGTACCACGGTAATGATGTGTTGTGTGTAAATGTACTGTGGTAATGATGTGTTGTGTGTAAATGTACCGCGGTAATGATGTGTTGTGTGTAAATGTACCGCGGTAATGATGTGTTGTGTGTAAATGTACCGTGGTAATGATGTGTTGTGTGTAAATGTACCGCGATAATGATGTGTTGTGTGTAAATGTACCGTGGTAATAATGTGTTGTGTGTAAATGTACCACGGTAATGATGTGTTGTGTGTAAATGTACTGTGGTAATGATGTGTGTAAATTTAGTGCATTAATCACGTGTTTGTATCTGACTCAAGCTTAGTGAGTGCGTTTACCTCGGCCTCTTTGCTGTGTGTGTGTAGAGCAGTTTGCAGCCGCTGGATGACGCCGTCTCTCTCTCGAACAGCAATTGTGTGTTTCTCATCGCTCTGCTGTTTCATCCACTCCAGCTTTCGGCACGTTTCCAGTGTTCTCTCTAATTCCAGCTCCTTACTGCGCACCAGAGCATCAAGACCCTGCGTACACGTACACACACACACACACACACATTCAGAGAATTCATCACAGCTCAGCAGTGTGTGCGTGACAGCAGAAGAAGACACACACCGTGACGGTGTCGTTGGTGTTGTTGAGGACGCAGCGCAGTCTCTCCAGGTCTCGGTCTTTCTCACGCAGCATCAGCTGCAGTCGATGCACTTCAGCATCCTTCTCCTCCAGACAGAGGAACTTCTCATCGATCGAGCGCTGAAACACACACAAATGTTACAGCAACATATGCAGAATATCAGAATGGTGCATCACTTAAAGGGATAGTTCACCAAAAAAAGAAAATTAAACCCATGATTGACTCAACCCTTAAGTCATCCTAAGTGTATATGACATTCTTCTTTCAGACAAATGTGTGTGAGTGTGAATGATTTCTTATTTGAAATCCATAAAAGTGCCTACATTCATCATTAAAGTGCATCTAACCATCATTAAAGTTTACCTTTATGATGGACAGATGCACTTTTATGATGAATAGATGCACTTTTATGATGGACAGATGCACTTTTATGATGGATAGATGCACTTTTATGATGGACTGATGCACTTTTATGATGGACAGATGCACTTTTATGATGGACAGATGCACTTTTATGATGGACAGATGCACTTTTATGATGGACAGATGCACTTTTATGATGGATAGATGCACTTTTATGATGGACAGATGCATTTTTATGATGGACAGATGCACTTTTATGATGGATAGAAGCACTTTTATGATGGACAGATGCACTTTTATGATGGACAGATGCACTTTTATGATGAATAGATGCACTTTTATGATGGACAGATGCACTTTTATGATGGATAGAAGCACTTTTATGATGGACAGATGCACTTTTATGATGGATAGATGCACTTTTATGATGGACAGATGCACTTTTATGATGGATAGATGCACTTTAATGATGATAGGTTCACATTTATAATGGATAAAAGCACTTTAATTCAGATTTGGGCCCAATAAGATCATGATGTGGGCGGAGCTACACATGAGATCTACGACCACTACACACAAACCTCCAGAGCGGCGTCTCGGTCTCGGATGCGACTCCTGAGTGTGTGCAGAAGTGTGTCTCTCTCTGAGGCTCCGCTGGAGTTCAGCAGCTCTGAATACTCCTGAAACAAACACAGTAAATGTGCAGCATTGAGTGTGTGTGTGTGTGTGTGTGTGTGTGTGTGTGAGACCTGCAGCAGTGTGTGATTGTGTGTGTGTGTGTGTGTGTGACCTGCAGCAGTGTGTGTTTGCGGCATAAGCTCTTCTGTAGTTGTGTGATGGTCTCATCTCTGTCACTGATGTCGGAGTGTGTTTCGGCCTCACGATCTCCCAGCTCACACACTTTCACCCGCAGCTCAGACCGCAGCCGCTCCAGTGTCTCACACAGATCCTGCACAGAAAACACACACACACACTGACAGCGTTACAATAAACCCAGATAGCAGGTGATCTTCTACATGACTGGAGTCGTCGGCCCTCAGTCCTGGAACTATCATCTCAACTTCTCTAGCCAATCAGTAAACAAGAGTGTGTGTGTGTGTGTGTGTGTGTGTTACCCTAACCCCTACAGGAGCGGATACACAGATGAAACAGACTTCATGTTTCTGAGAGCAGCGTCACACGTCTCTGAGCTGCCGGTACCGTTAGACTCAGCTGGTAAATGACACACCTGGTTGTGTGTTGTGTGTGTGTGTGTGTGTGTGTGTACCTTGTTGTGTGTGTGAGTGGTCTCTCTGTGCTCCTCTGCGTCCCGCAGCTCGTCCTGCAGTCGGTCTCGCGAGCGCTTCAGATCCTCCAGGCGTCTCTGGGTCAGCGTGTGTGTGTGTGTGTGATGGGCCTCCAGTTGACAGGAGAACAGAGAGCTCGAGTCCACAGTGCCATCTAGAGCCTGAGGAGAGAAACGGCTTGAGAGTGTGTGTGTGAGTATGTGTGTGTGTGTGTGTGTGATCTAGATCATCTAGAGACTGAGGACAGAAACACCAGAGAAGAAGAGAGTCCTGAAGCCCGTTTCAATAAGGAGGTTCAACCAACTCGGAGTTAAAGCTTGAACTCAGAGTTGACTTACCCTGAGATGAGAAACTCTGAGTTTTCGGTTACAGAACAGCTGAAATGAGTTAGTTTAATCAACTCTGAGTTGACTGACTCTGAGTTAAGCGCGAGCACCACAGCTATAAAAAGCCATCATCGATGGAGCGCAGATATTATGAGTCCCCATGGCAACAGCGCCAGACAAAAAGAGGTGTTGGGTGTAATTAATTACCAAGTAATCTAAATATTATAATTTAATTAAAGGGATTACTCTTAATTCTTCTGTAATTTAAAATAAAATATGATGCAATTACATTAAATATGCTACTGCATAAACTATAGACCAATTCAGTATAAAACAATAGTGGATTTAAGATACATTTTTAAAAGGTATATTTTTTTTATGTATTTTAAGGTTTTTAAGATCTCCCTCTACACACTTTGATCAATTCAAGAATAATTCATGCAATTGTATATTGTTAATTTGATAGAATTAAAAGCGCAGTTTCTTGTCTCTCCTCCTTGTATTGTTCAAGTGGTTGAGGTTGATATAGGATTTAGCAATTAGTAATATGTAGACCAATACTTTCTATAGGTAGTAGGAGAGCGCGGGGCACAACCTAACGCGGGGTTAAATGTAACACGGACCGTTTACATAGTTCGTCAGGATCAAGCAGGCTGTGTTTACGATATTTTTCTCTTGCTGCCAGAAGACAGTCTCCCGCGAATTTGCGGAAAATTTTGATTATATTTCGTGAAGATACTTGACAAAGAGTGTTTTGACACCATTAAAATATTTTTTTTTCATCATAGATTTTTTTCGGTTTCTGAGTTGGGTGTATAAGTTTCCAAATCTCACTTTATATTGCCTGTCTTGTTGGCTCAAACACAGCACTGTTTTGAAACTTGTCAGCAATTCCTAGCGACTGTTAGCTAGGGTTAAAATATGTAATACACAGCGGGGTTAGTGGTAACACGGTGTTACAAACAAGACGCCAAGTGTACAACGATAATCAAATGAAAACGGAGCCTCACAACTTTTCAGGTTTGAGTATACATTTAACTTTGTTGGACTTCCACAAACAATGTTGGAATTTAAAATGTTTAAAATTTATGAAAAAATAAATTAAATGAATGATAACTTGTTTATTTATTAAAAATATGTCCTGTTTTTAATGCAATAAAACCTTAAAATTATTATTATTTTAAGCTCATTTGTGATTATTACTGTTATTATTATTAATAATAATAATAATTGTACATGCAGCTGCCACACACAAATCTAATTTAATTGCAATTACAATATTTTATAATTTTATTTATTAGTATTTATTGCAAAACTGTACAGCCCTTTTCTGTCTCTATCCTTGATATTGATCCACAATAGAAGGATGTTTGGATGAGGGATATGTATGGATATCTGTCTATACAGATGCACAAACAATATCAAACTATACAAATAAAATAGTACTGAATTAAGTGTGTTACACAGAAGTGTTACAACTAACCCCTCTCTCTGTTACAATTAACCCCGCATATGGGGTAAGTTGTAACATTTGCACTTCTGTCATTTTCAGTGCAACTGTACGAAAATGGTAGGTCCTAGAAAAAAACTTTAAGTGTTCATTTGTAGCAGAGATGTGTATGTTGCTTGTGTAAAAAAAATATTAATCTAACCTAATTATTTTTTAATTAACTGAGCCAAAACCAAAATGCGTTAGGTTGTGCCCCGCTCTCCCCTAATCATTACATTAATGTAACTACACCGTTGAAGATGTCATTTGTAGTTAATAATTCATAACTATTTTAGAGTAACTTACTGTTATAATATCAGAGGTGAAACTGGAAGAATGTTATTCAACCTAAAGTAGGCTACTAATACTTTGATAATTTTTTTCTTAAGTAAAAGTAAAAATATCAGTCTAAAAATCTACTCATGTAAAAAGTGGTTAATTTAAAACACGAGTTAATGTTGCTGAGTAATTTGTTTAACAGTGTGTGTGTGTGTGTGTGTGTGGTGGGGGGGGGGTGGGGGTTGGGGACTCCCCATGTAGGGTTGTAACGTATGAGAGTTTCACAGTATGATAACCGTCTCAGAAAACATCACGGTTTATGGTATTATTAATTATATTAAATTACGGATATTATTATCATCAGTTAAAATGACAGTTAAATAAAAATTAAACATTTGTTCAATAAAACATATCTAATGAACTAACTTCAATAATTGATTATCAATAAGATTAACATCTTATTTTTATCATTAATAACATATTATCTTAATGATAAATTATGAATTGAAAATAAATAAATTATGTTTGAAAAATAATTGTTCTATTAAATGTTTTTATCCCAATTTTTTTAATGATTTAATAGAAATATATTATCAAAAATGGTGGTAATCAAATAAAAGTTTAGCAAACGTTTTAATTCTTTTATTTTTTGGCAAAGTGCTGCAAAACAGATATAGTCAATTAAACCATGGACAAACAATATTCCTTAAAGAATGTGTAAATACAACATTTTAGTATTATTGTTGGTGTTTAAACAGCACTTCCTCTTTAAAAAAGTGGAGGAGACCACAAGAAACTCTGGGTTTACTGAAGAAAACCTGCTCCCGACCAGGTTAGGTTCACAGAGTGAGTTACCATGGTAACTGACTCTGAGTATAAGTTACCTCTCTTTCAGAAACGGGCTTGACTTATTCTGCTTTCTCGGGTTTGATATACCCCCCTTTCTGAAACGGAAAACCCAGAGTTTCCCTCATTTCAGGGTTAACATACTCAGAGTTTTCACTTAACCTCCTTTCTGAAACAGGCCCCTGCTGCCTCATCCCCCTGCACACACTTCAAATACTGAGAAAGCTGTGTGTGTGTGTGTGTTTGTGTGTGTATGTACTTGTACTTACAGTCGATTCGGTATTCACAGCGCTTCACTTTTTCCATGTTACAGCCTTATTCCAAAATGGATTTGAACTTGAAAAACAGCATGTACTGAGGTCTTTCCACGGTTAAAACAACATTCCTTCTGATGTTCATTCATGTTTATTTGATGCTATAAACGAACAAGAAGGACGAGATGATCGGTTCACAAGCAGCTTTAACTGAGGCTCTAGCGATCTGTCACACATTAATGACCCAAAAAACGTTATTTTTTATTGTTTAAATTTCTTTAAAAAATTACCAAATTTGAAAGTTGAGACTTTGTTTTATATCAAAAGTAAGCTGGTCTGTCCTGTCTGTCACCCTGTTGAGTCTCCCGAGGAGTCTCCCAGTCCCTCATCTTTCCCTCGACCCTGACGAGTCTCCCAGTTCCTCATCTTTCCCTCGACCCTGACGAGTCTCCCAGTCCCTCATCTTTCCCTCGACCCTGACGAGTCTCCCAGTCCCTGATCTTTCCCTCGACCCTGACGAGTCTCTCAGTTCCTCATCTTTCCCTCGACCCTGACGAGTCTCCCAGTCCCTGATCTTTCCCTCGACCCTGAGGAGTCTCCCAGTCCCTCATCTTTCCCTCGACCCTGACGAGTCTCCCAGTCCCTCATCTTTCCCTCGACCCTGACGAGTCTCTCAGTTCCTCATCTTTCCCTCGACCCTGACTAGTCTCCCAGTCCCTCATCTTTCCCTCGACCCTGACGAGTCTCCCAGTCCCTCATCTTTCCCTCGACCCTGACGAGTCTCCCAGTCCCTCATCTTTCCCTTGACCATGAGGAGTCTCCCAGTCCCTCGTCTTTCCCTCGACCCTGAGGAGTCTCCCAGTCCTTCATCTTTCCCTCGACCCTGACGAGTCTCCCAGTCCCTCATCTTTCCCTCGACCCTGACAAGTCTCCCAGTCCCTCATCTTTCCCTCGACCCTGAGGAGTCTCCCAGTCCCTCGACCCTGACGAGTCTCCCAGTCCCTCATCTTTCCCTCGACCCTGACAAGTCTCCCAGTCCCTCATCTTTCCCTCGACCCTGAGGAGTCTCCCAGTCCCTCGACCCTGACGAGTCTCCCAGTCCCTCATCTTTCCCTTGACCATGAGGAGTCTCCAAGTCCCTCATCTTTCCCTCGACCCTGAGGAGTCTCCCAGTCCCTCATCGTTCCCTCGACCCTGAGGAGTCTCCCAGTCCCTCATCTTTCCCTTGACCATGAGGAGTCTCCAAGTCCCTCATCTTTCCCTCAACCCTGAGGAGTCTCCAAGTCCCTCATCTTTCCCTCGACCCTGAGGAGTCTCCCAGTCCCTCGTCTTTCCCTCGACCCTGATGAGTCTCCCAGTCCCTCATCTTTCCCTCGACCCTGACAAGTCTCCCAGTCCCTCATCTTTCCCTCGACCCTGAGGAGTCTCCCAGTCCCTCATCTTTCCCTCGACCCTGAGGAGTCTCCCAGTCCCTCGTCTTTCCCTCGACCCTGATGAGTCTCCCAGTCCCTCATCTTTCCCTCGACCCTGATGAGTCTCCCAGTCCCTCATCTTTCCCTCGACCCTGACGAGTCTCCCAGTCCCTCGTCTTTCCCTCGACCCTGAGGAGTCTCCCAGTCCCTCGTCTTTCCCTCGACCCTGATGAGTCTCCCAGTCCCTCATCTTTCCCTCGACCCTGACAAGTCTCCCAGTCCCTCATCTTTCCCTCGACCCTGAGGAGTCTCCCAGTCCCTCATCTTTCCCTCGACCCTGAGGAGTCTCCCAGTCCCTCGTCTTTCCCTCGACCCTGATGAGTCTCCCAGTCCCTCATCTTTCCCTCGACCCTGACAAGTCTCCCAGTCCCTCATCTTTCCCTCGACCCTGAGGAGTCTCCCAGTCCCTCATCTTTCCCTCGACCCTGACGAGTCTCCCAGTCCCTTATCTTTCCCTCGACCCTGACGAGTCTCCCAGTCCCTCATCTTTCCCTTGACCATGAGGAGTCTCCCAGTCCCTCGTCTTTCCCTCGACCCTGAGGAGTCTCCCAGTCCTTCATCTTTCCCTCGACCCTGACGAGTCTCCCAGTCCCTCATCTTTCCCTCGACCCTGACAAGTCTCCCAGTCCCTCATCTTTCCCTCGACCCTGAGGAGTCTCCCAGTCCCTCGACCCTGACGAGTCTCCCAGTCCCTCATCTTTCCCTTGACCATGAGGAGTCTCCAAGTCCCTCATCTTTCCCTCGACCCTGAGGAGTCTCCCAGTCCCTCATCGTTCCCTCGACCCTGAGGAGTCTCCCAGTCCCTCATCTTTCCCTTGACCATGAGGAGTCTCCAAGTCCCTCATCTTTCCCTCAACCCTGAGGAGTCTCCAAGTCCCTCATCTTTCCCTCGACCCTGAGGAGTCTCCCAGTCCCTCGTCTTTCCCTCGACCCTGATGAGTCTCCCAGTCCCTCATCTTTCCCTCGACCCTGACAAGTCTCCCAGTCCCTCATCTTTCCCTCGACCCTGAGGAGTCTCCCAGTCCCTCATCTTTCCCTCGACCCTGAGGAGTCTCCCAGTCCCTCGTCTTTCCCTCGACCCTGATGAGTCTCCCAGTCCCTCATCTTTCCCTCGACCCTGATGAGTCTCCCAGTCCCTCATCTTTCCCTCGACCCTGACGAGTCTCCCAGTCCCTCGTCTTTCCCTCGACCCTGAGGAGTCTCCCAGTCCCTCGTCTTTCCATCGACCCTGATGAGTCTCCCAGTCTCTCATCTTTCCCTCGACCCTGACAAGTCTCCCAGTCCCTCATCTTTCCCTCGACCCTGAGGAGTCTCCCAGTCCCTCATCTTTCCCTCGACCCTGAGGAGTCTCCCAGTCCCTCATCTTTCCCTTGACCATGAGGAGTCTCCCAGTCCCTCGTCTTTCCCTCGACCCTGAGGAGTCTCCCAGTCCCTCATCTTTCCCTCGACCCTGACGAGTCTCCCAGTCCCTCATCTTTCCCTCGACCCTGACAAGTCTCCCAGTCCCTCATCTTTCCCTCGACCCTGAGGAGTCTCCCAGTCCCTCATCTTTCCCTCGACCCTGAGGAGTCTCCCAGTCCCACATCTTTCCCTCGACCCTGACGAGTCTCCCAGTCCCTCATCTTTCCTCGACCCTGAGGAGTCTCCCAGTCCCTCATCTTTCCCTTGACCATGAGGAGTCTCCAAGTCCCTCATCTTTCCCTCGACCCTGAGGAGTCTCCCAGTCCCTCATCTTTCCCTCGACCCTGAGGAGTCTCCCAGTCCCTCATCTTTCCCTTGACCATGAGGAGTCTCCAAGTCCCTCATCTTTCCCTCGACCCTGAGGAGTCTCCAAGTCCCTCATCTTTCCCTCGACCCTGACGAGTCTCCCAGTCCCTCGTCTTTCCCTCGACCCTGAGGAGTCTCCCAGTCCCTCGTCTTTCCCTCGACCCTGATGAGTCTCCCAGTCCCTCATCTTTCCCTCGACCCTGATGAGTCTCCCAGTCCCTCATCTTTCCCTCGACCCTGACGAGTCTCCCAGTCCCTCGTCTTTCCCTCGACCCTGATGAGTCTCCCAGTCCCTCATCTTTCCCTCGACCCTGACAAGTCTCCCAGTCCCTCATCTTTCCCTCGACCCTGAGGAGTCTCCCAGTCCCTCATCTTTCCCTCGACCCTGAGGAGTCTCCCAGTCCCTCGTCTTTCCCTCGACCCTGATGAGTCTCCCAGTCCCTCATCTTTCCCTCGACCCTGACAAGTCTCCCAGTCCCTCATCTTTCCCTCGACCCTGAGGAGTCTCCCAGTCCCTCATCTTTCCCTCGACCCTGACGAGTCTCCCAGTCCCTCATCTTTCCCTCGACCCTGACGAGTCTCCCAGTCCCTCATCTTTCCCTTGACCATGAGGAGTCTCCCAGTCCCTCGTCTTTCCCTCGACCCTGAGGAGTCTCCCAGTCCTTCATCTTTCCCTCGACCCTGACGAGTCTCCCAGTCCCTCATCTTTCCCTCGACCCTGACAAGTCTCCCAGTCCCTCATCTTTCCCTCGACCCTGAGGAGTCTCCCAGTCCCTCGACCCTGACGAGTCTCCCAGTCCCTCATCTTTCCCTTGACCATGAGGAGTCTCCAAGTCCCTCATCTTTCCCTCGACCCTGAGGAGTCTCCCAGTCCCTCATCGTTCCCTCGACCCTGAGGAGTCTCCCAGTCCCTCATCTTTCCCTTGACCATGAGGAGTCTCCAAGTCCCTCATCTTTCCCTCAACCCTGAGGAGTCTCCAAGTCCCTCATCTTTCCCTCGACCCTGAGGAGTCTCCCAGTCCCTCGTCTTTCCCTCGACCCTGATGAGTCTCCCAGTCCCTCATCTTTCCCTCGACCCTGACAAGTCTCCCAGTCCCTCATCTTTCCCTCGACCCTGAGGAGTCTCCCAGTCCCTCATCTTTCCCTCGACCCTGAGGAGTCTCCCAGTCCCTCGTCTTTCCCTCGACCCTGATGAGTCTCCCAGTCCCTCATCTTCCCTCGACCCTGATGAGTCTCCCAGTCCCTCATCTTTCCCTCGACCCTGACGAGTCTCCCAGTCCCTCGTCTTTCCCTCGACCCTGAGGAGTCTCCCAGTCCCTCGTCTTTCCCTCGACCCTGATGAGTCTCCCAGTCCCTCATCTTTCCCTCGACCCTGACAAGTCTCCCAGTCCCTCATCTTTCCCTCGACCCTGAGGAGTCTCCCAGTCCCTCATCTTTCCCTCGACCCTGAGGAGTCTCCCAGTCCCTCATCTTTCCCTTGACCATGAGGAGTCTCCCAGTCCCTCGTCTTTCCCTCGACCCTGAGGAGTCTCCCAGTCCCTCATCTTTCCCTCGACCCTGACGAGTCTCCCAGTCCCTCATCTTTCCCTCGACCCTGACAAGTCTCCCAGTCCCTCATCTTTCCCTCGACCCTGAGGAGTCTCCCAGTCCCTCATCTTTCCCTCGACCCTGAGGAGTCTCCCAGTCCCACATCTTTCCCTCGACCCTGACGAGTCTCCCAGTCCCTCATCTTTCCCTCGACCCTGAGGAGTCTCCCAGTCCCTCATCTTTCCCTTGACCATGAGGAGTCTCCAAGTCCCTCATCTTTCCCTCGACCCTGAGGAGTCTCCCAGTCCCTCATCTTTCCCTCGACCCTGAGGAGTCTCCCAGTCCCTCATCTTTCCCTTGACCATGAGGAGTCTCCAAGTCCCTCATCTTTCCCTCGACCCTGAGGAGTCTCCAAGTCCCTCATCTTTCCCTCGACCCTGACGAGTCTCCCAGTCCCTCGTCTTTCCCTCGACCCTGACGAGTCTCCCAGTCCCTCGTCTTTCCCTCGACCCTGAGGAGTCTCCCAGTCCCTCGTCTTTCCCTCGACCCTGATGAGTCTCCCAGTCCCTCATCTTTCCCTCGACCCTGACAAGTCTCCCAGTCCCTCATCTTTCCCTCGACCCTGAGGAGTCTCCCAGTCCCTCATCTTTCCCTCGACCCTGAGGAGTCTCCCAGTTCATGCTGCTCTTAAACACCCCCACAGCTGATGCTGCTCCACTGTAGGGATGGTATTGTCCAAGTTATAAGTGGTGCCTGCTTTCTTCCAGACATGACGCTTGCCATTCATGTCAAAAAGTTAAACCTTTGTTTCATCAAACCAGAGATGGTTGTTCTTCTGGAAGCTTCTCCTCTCTCCACAGAGAGAGCTCTGCCAGAGTGACCATCAGGTTCTCGGTCTCCGCCCTGACTGAGGCCCTTCTCCCCCAATCGCTCAGCTCTAGGAAGAGTACTGGTGGCTCCACACTTCTTCCATTTACAGATGATGGAGGCCACTGTGCTCATTGGGACCTTCAATGGTGCAGAAATGTTTCTGTACCCTTTTCCAGATCTGTGCCTCAATACAATCCTGTCTGGGCGGTCTACAGACAATGCCTTGGACCTCATGGCTTGGTTTGTGCTCTGACATGCACTGTTAACTGTGGGACCTTATATAGATGGGTGTGCGTTTTCCAAATCATGTCCAATCAACTACCACAATTTACCACAGGTGGACTCCAATCCAGTTGTAGAAACACCTCAAGGATGATGGTAGAAACCGGATACACCTGAGCTCAAATTTGGGTGTCATGGCAAAGGCTGTGAATACTTATGTACATGTGATTTTAATTTTTAATAAATTTGCAAAGATTTCAAAGAAACTTCTTTCATTATTGGGTATTGTTTGTAGAATTTTGAGGAAAATAATGAGTTTAATCCATTTTAGAATAAGGCTGTAATGTAACAAAATGTGGAAAAAGTGAATCGCTATGAATACTTTCCGGAGGCACTGTATCAGTGTGTGTGTGCTCACCTGTCTGTGTTGCGGCTGCTGCTGGTGTGTCTCTGTGAGTTTACACAGTGTGTTTTTCTGGTCCTCAATCACATGGTAAAGCTCCTGAGTCTAGACACCCACACACACAAACACACACACAGAGAGAGAGAGAGAGAGAGAGAGAGAGAGAGAGAGAGAGAGAGAGAGCATGAATATGAGCTTGTCTGGATGGGGACTGTGAGTGTTAGTGTTAGTGTGTGTGTGTGTGTGTGTGTGTGTGTGTGTGTGTGTGTGTGTATGTGTTCACTCGCCTCTGTGTCTTTCGTTCTCAGGCTGTCTGTGAGGTTCTGGATGGTTCTCTGCTGGTTCTGTGCAGCTTGTCTGATGGACAGAAGCTCTGACTCCATCTCACTCACTTTCTTCTGCAGCTTCTGAGACACAAACACAAACATCTGAGCCGGCAGTCAACATAACAAACTAAAAACTAAAACCCTTTCTAAAGTGAACATGATACACTTTTACACTTTTTGAATATACATGAACGAACGAATCACTCAATCAGAGTTTTGAACTGATTCAGAGAAATGAATACAAATACTCCAGTGTAAATCATCAGTTCTCTATGTGAATATACAGTAAAGTGTAATTTATTTCTGTGATCAAAGCTGATCAGCATCATTACTCCAGTCTTCAGTGTCACATGACCCTTCAGAAATCAATCCAATATGAGGATCTGATGATCAAGAAACACTTGTTATTAATGTTTTTTTGTGGGTTGTACCTTGTTGCTGGTCTCGCTGTGATGGATCTGAGTCTGCAGAGCCTCGACCTGCATCTGTGCGTTCTGCAGTTGAGCGACACACTGTCCCGCACTGTGATCGAACTGAAGCGTCTGTGTCTGCTCCTCCATCAGAGTCTGAAGAAACCAGAGAAGAAACCTGAAGAACCCTGACCCTAACCCACAACATCAGACCTGGTTTACACTGCTGGAACCTGCTGTACTTGTGTCAACTCTTGGTCTGCTTTTAATATCATCCGGTTCACACACACACACACACACACACACACACTAGTATTGCTTAATTTATTCAAAAGAGCATTGACGGTCCATGTTTTAGAAAATCTTTCTGGACTGTGTTCATCTGACGCATCTGAGGTCCTTTAACTGTGATGCATTGAGGTCAGACATCACTCTGTGAGTGTGTGTGTGTGTGTGTGAGTGTGTGTTTTGGCTCGAGGGCGAGAGATCTAGGCCAGTGGTTCTGCCACACTCTCCATGTTAACCTATTTAACCGTAAATGTCAGGCTATCTGTGGGTTAACGGAGACTTCAGTGAGAACGAGGAGATGTGAGGAAAGAGAGAGAACACACACGATCTCTGATCTGATGACGGTACGGCTCACAGTGGCTTCATTCATCAGTGCCGGTTTGGAGCAGGAACAGTTCCTATTTATAAGCTGATCAGGTGACAAACGATTGAGTAAATAACCTCAAACACAAACTGCAGATGTTTATTTTTGGTTTGGTGCTTTTTAAAAGTTTCAACCTCGAATAGCGACTTTGTACCAGAACTCCATATCGTACAAAAACAATGACACAAATAAACCAAACATTAAAATGTGTCTTTATTAGGGAACACGTCAACCGTGTTCCCTAAGAAAGATTTGAAAGATCTTTGAAAAGTTGAAAGATTCAGAACAGCTTACTGAACTCTTGTGCAATCCATCAATCAGTGTTTCAACAGCCGAAAGTCGTCAATAATGTGAGAATAATGACATGTAACGTAACATTCACCTCATTCATTGACCATAAACGCAATATTCAACTAGAAAAATAACTCTAGAGGGAGTGTTTGGATAAATTAATGCGCTGTATTATATATTCATAAATAGTAAATTTTCCTTCATTTATACAGTGCTTTCAAGAATCTAGAGTTTCACAGCCGCTTTACAGTGATAACAGGAGATTACAGTAACAGAGTGTTTAGGATTTACAGGAGATCTAGAATAAAGTTATTGTCCAGATAAAGTTAGTTTTGATTGATTCACTTCCACTGTAAAGATCATTAGTGATTAACTTAGCGGCCGCTAACATGACACCGCTCTACTGAACACAGAAACTTCAATGTGTTCCGGTCGTTCATTCACACGACACTGTTTAAAGCTTTATTTTTCGTTAGCTTAGCAACTGTTTCAAATAAATACCTCGGGTTAGTTCTGGGCGGTATACCGGTTCATACCAAAAACCGGTGTATATTTTTGTTATGATGTTAATTTTTAATATACCCCCGTACCGATGCATTTAATTACACAACGTTCAGAACGAATGTTACGATGCGCCGCCGACACTGTTTCAGACGGACCCTTTACAATGTTGCACTTCTAAGCGGCGACGGTGAGGCGAGGGCAAATCAAACAGCAGTGCTCTGGAGTTACGCTACAGGGACGGCGGATGCAGCAGAACTATGGCGTTATTCATGTCGAGAGCGCACTATTGTAGCGCGAAAGTAAATTAATGTAATGCGCGATCGCAAATCTCTGCTCGTGTGTGGAATATCGCGCGCGCGCTCTCAGAAACACGCTGCTCTTGTGAGAATAGGTCTATTTTCTCTGGGCTCGCTGAGAGAAT